TATACATCCCTACTTTGTCTTCATGTATCACGGGTAAATTTTCGAACTTTGTATTGATTTTGGTTGTTGGTTCTTCAATTGTGTTAGCTTAACCTGCTTTTTCTTGTTTATGATTAATTCTTTCTTGGACATGATATAAGTAAAGCATATAGGGGTTTACTTGGATAGCCAAATATCCAATATCATGCTTCAAATTTAGGATGGACCTTCAGGACAACTATGGTCTAGGAATATGACCTCTCTTTTGTGTTTCTGATTCATGTCCTCCTTGACTACTTTGGTTTTAAAAATAGGACCATATCATTAGTTGTCAAGTCTTCATGATATTGATGCTGATTGGAGATTTCGTTTTAGAATTGTTTTTAAGTTATTTTTTATTCCCTAAGGTTGTTATCTTGAATTTAAAGTAAGACATGTTCTTCTTGATAATCCTGATGCAAGTTGTGCCTTTCATTGTCTTAAAACTGAATGTAATGATGCATGTTCTGGCCACGTGTGAGATTCTGGAGGAATTTTTGTCTAATATGATAGTTGATGTGTGTCATATCTGTTACTAGAGATTAGATTATAGTGACAACGTAATCGAACTCTTATATTTTTTGCTACATTATAGATGCATTAGACCACTTGCAGGTTTGCCGCATGTTGATTGTAAATGAAATCTTTCAACAATGGTCAATCTTTTTCTAATCTAGCTACAAATTATCTGTTCTTTTGTTTTGTTAGTCTCTAATTTGTATACTTGTCAAAATTAGACTACGGGCCTCATTCTTGATCATTCATATTTTGATTTTGCTTTGGTCATTGACAGTATGTTTGTTGCTTTGATTTCTGGATCAAGTTCACCCATTCTTTTAATCCCAATATGACCACGATTACATTCGACCAAAATTGCACATACTTCCTCAGTGGATAGGATGTCCTCAATCTTTTCCTTCAGCTGCACATACATATCTAGGAATTGTTGATGAACAGAAACATCATCTCCCGCATGCTCCATAGCCTTCACTTTTGCTTCAAGCTCTTGAATCTCCTGTTGCCTCCTCTTTGTCTCTCTGCAAATTAATCAGAAGTATTATATATATATATATATATATATATATATATATCCAAAAGTCAAATAGTTAAAATGAACTAATCACATAGGACAGTATAACCATGTTTGTTTTTTTTTTCTCTTTATGTCATTCACCTTTTGTTGTTGAACATATCTCATGCTTTTAAATATCATGTCTACAATTAGTGCATGTGACCGTAAATATCATGTCTTTCACAAGTACATGATATTTACGATCTCCTAGGTCATTCACCTTATCTTTTGCATATTCCTAAGGTATTACATCATTAAGCTTCTTTTGCATTAGAGGGTTTGAAATGTATTTAGTTCTCTGTATTGATGTATAGTTTTTGTTATATAGGCCAACCCCCAACTTGCTCTTTATAGGAGCAAAATTGTGATTGAAAATTGGGATGATATTTGTGCAATTTTCTCGCAAGACCGTGCCGATGGCCAAGGGGCAGCAACTTTTGAGGAGAATAATGCTGAGAATGAGGTCAACTCTTTCAACATAGGAGATCCATCTGAAGAGATTCATAATCAATCCGAAGCTATGAGACTTTTGTTGGCCCGACAAAAGCGAAAGGAAGGCACATCTTCTGCTTGTTCTCAAGGCTCGAGAAAAAAACCAACATCAACGCAAGCTGCTGACTATATGATGCAAATGGCTGCTGAATTTAGTGACTACATGTTGGGGGAAAGAAAAAGGACTGAACTTGGGATAGCACAAAAAACAAAGATCACCCCTCAACAAATTTTGTCAGAAACGAGGAAATTGATTTGGATGACATGCAGAAAATCAAGGCTGTGGATATGATGATGCTCAATCGAGTAATGTTTGATACATTTGTGGGATTGCTGGTTGAGTTGAAATACAAATGGCTAATGGCCAAACTTGATAAAGAAAACTGATTGTTCAGGTAATATTCTTTCACCTTTTCTAGTTGATCCATATTTCTGAACTTAAGAACTTAGAAGTTTAGTGAAGTGAGGGTAATACATATTTCTTAGCATTGGCTATGAATTGGTGGTGATATTGGAAACGAAATTCTTAAAATTATGTAAATTGAGTTTTTGAATCAAACATTGATCAATGCTTTTATTAATCGTGGATAGCAATTATGGATGAATTTTTGTGATTATATGATTTCATCGCGTTATGCCACTAAATAGAGCTGAATGTGCATGTTACCTAATTATTTCTGAAGGAAAAAAATTATTTTGCATATAAGTTGTGAAATGAAAATGAAAGACTACGTTGTTATGGTGAGAATCTTGTTTTTCTTATGGCATAAATGAGAGTGAATTATTTATTGTGTTTGAGATGTTTCTTCTGTTTCTGTCTCTCTTTGCGTTAGCTGAATGTTGGTATAAGGATTTTCATAGATTTTTTGTTTTTCTGATTCTTCTTGAGGCTATCTTGGTCGGATAAATTTGTTGATCTCTTAGTTTATTTACTTATGATCCATGTACAGTTGAGCCTGCATCTGGTGTTGATGAAGAAGGACTTGAGGTTGCTAAGGAGTGTTTGTCAGAAGCATCTATATATGTCGGTTTCATGCAACACATTGCTGTGTTTAAACTGTGGAGTGGAGAGTTACATATGTGCCTCTGACATATTTTCAGCACATTGGCTTTTGCAACTCCATCCAAGTCCACTGTTTCTGTTCATCATACAATCGTAGTTGAGCAACATCATAATGAAGTGCAACTCTTGTTATTAATGTATTTCCGTTTTAAACAATGTCATGAAGCATGTCAATGATACTTTCCAGCAACAAGAAACTGTGTTTTAGAAAGTACCATTTCTAGTATGTGATATATGTTGCTCTTTTTTTTAGAGAGAGAAAGTTCGGTTTGCTTTGATATATGTTGCTCAAAATCGATTTCTTATTCCCTGAATCTCAAAAATGGAAAAAAGTGCTATCTCTCGTCAAAGGACGTTGCAGAATAAAAAAAGTGTCATTTCTTGTGAAATTGATCGACTTGGTGAGCTAATGTCTGTTGCGAAGGACGTGTTTTAAATAATTCATAAAATAATTATTTAAAGAGTTTTCTTTCTATATCCTAAAAAATATACACAATACATTTCGATAATTTTGAAATGGAAAGTGTATTTTAATTAAATAAAGTAGATTATCTAACATAATATTCTCACATTGTTTGTCTTAATATTATTTTTTTTACATATTTATATATTATTCTAGAAATGATACTATTTAACATAACAAAAATTAAAAGTTGAAATAATTTCAAATAAATCAATTTTTTCTTTTTTCTTTATTTTTGTAAAAAATAAGCAAAAGCCAAAACCAACCCAATCACTAGACTATACGAACCAGAGAATTTGGAATCCCAATTGAATTTGTGATCAATTCCATGATTTTGCCGAACGGATAAATTGGTATTGAATTAAAATATCTTGAATGGCAATTGAATCCTAAAATATTCTAATGCCAATTGAATCCCAAAAACATGTAACCGAACACACCCTTAGTTTTAACATTTCCCATCCATTTTATAGATTTGGAGAAATCATAAGGGAATTTTCATGTACTTTATAAACCACGAGGAGGTTATGTGTTTTTTAGGATAAAATTGAAAATGTAACGGGCCAAAATTGAAAAATTGCAACATGTAGGAAAAATTGTTAAATTATAAAATATTAGAAAAAGTAAATTTTTTCCGAGTAAATTTTCTTTTTAAAAATAATTAAAAAAATCCAAAATTTGGCGAAAACAAATTAGACCAATTTAGAAAAAAAAAAAACCTTTAATAACTGATGATTTGTGCACTTAAGAAATACAGTATTAACTAGGGACTAAAAAAGTTTCAGGCATCTAGTTTTTCCCTATTTATTATCCAACAAAAAAAAAGTATGTGGGCTTTTGCAACTAATAACCAATTTACCAATTTATTCCATTTTAAAAAATAAAAAATAAAAAAATAACCAATTTATTGAAAGTATAAAATAAAAGCAATAATAATGAACTTACTGTAACAGTTAATTTCTAAAGAAAGAAGGGAGTCAAGTCTTGGCCGCGCCGCCGCCTCTCCTCCTCCATAGCAGCAAACCACAAGCCGGATTTCTTTTTCTTTCCCCCTTAACTCCTCATCGGAGCGTCTCTTCCCTTCCTCTCTCCATCAATTTTCTTTCTTCCTCTCTCCGTTCTTCTCCCCCTGTGTGTTGGGTTAAATCACCGCAAAAATTCTTCCCCCAAAAAGATAGAAAAAGAGAACTCCAAAATCCTCCCAACGTTGAAGTAATTAATCGGATCCGGTACGTATCTCATACCAGCACCCGTGTCGTGCGTTTCGTGTCGACACGGATTTTCTTCCCAGAAGGGCCGAGTTCAGGTAACAGATCGTAAAACTATGCAATCTAGTTAAAGTTAGAATATTAGGGTAACTATGAGGTAGTCGAATGAGAGGATTTTGGATAGTATTAGGCAATGTTTTGCAGTGGTATATTGTTTTTGTTGGCAACTGTTATCGATTATTTGTTTAATTTACATTGTGTGTCCTCTTCTTTTCTTGAACAATTTCCATTAGCATGGCGATAATTAAAAATCTACGGCGTCATAAAGGAGCCTCATTTGTCCTAACTCTTATAAATTCTTTCTCCTTTTTCTGTTGGAAGTTCATGAGTATCAAAAGCAGTTCTTGCTGTAACAAAATTTTGGTAGGAAAACTGTGTTTATTTATCCCACCAATATTTTTAGGGATTTTATTATTTTTTTTGGGAAAATTCTGATGTTGGGCAGTACAATAGTAATAGGTGGAGTTCTGGCTTCTGTGGCAAATTCTGGCTTCCTTGTGACGTGATCAATATCTGTTTGTGCATCCATTACAGGAAAGCGATTCAGTCACCTTGCTCCTCTTACGTTTTAGCAGTTTTTTCAAGAAGCTTTATTGGGGCCAACGTCGACTGGCCTTTGGAGAAATGGATCCTAGTCGCTATGGCCTTCAGCAAGGATGGGAAAGTAACAACGTAATTGTGATTTCCTTCTTAATCACATATATGGGATGATATACAAGAAATTATGCTAAGTGATTGTCCATTTATTCCGGCATCTGATCCTTAAAGAACATTTAGGGAAAGCCATGGACAGTGAGGATGTGGAATGGATATGGCACCTTGAACAATGATTAAACTGATTAGCTTATTCTCTTGAATTTACAGGCCTTGGAGGGTTATGGTCCAGTCCATGAGCCGAATTTCCGGTGAGTGAGTTTTGATTGGCTCTTCATTTTTAGCTTAGAGGTTAATCTTATAGTTCTTTATGGCTTCAAATTATTTCCCTTGCGTAAAGGTTAACTTATTGTTCATCAAGATAGCTCATTGTCGAATATCTTTCTTCTTTTCTTCCTCTGAACTACTTTAATTACCCTTTTTGTTGATGATATCAATGTGCCTGGCTTCCTATGGGTACACACTGAATAACTTCTTCAATTTGTCTTTTAATATGTTCCAATTTCCTTTGCCTCGTCTGCTTTTGTAGGGTCAGTGGTTCATATGATGATAGGAGGTTTATAGATGAAAGAGTGTCGAGGGACAATGTTTACTCAAGAAATGCCTTTCACCGAGACTTATTGGAAAGGGAAGATTATCCACCATCATCAGCTGCCCTCTGGCCTCAAACAAGGAGGAGATCTTATGAGGATGATTATGCCCTGGAGAGGGATTCTAGAAGGCACGATAAGCCGTACCCTGATTCATATCATGAAATGGATTCTCGCCATGTTGACCACTACCGTGAATCTGGATTTGTTAGGTCTTCTCGGCATGCTGGACGTGATCGTGATGATTGCTCGTATGATGATTATGAATATACATCTCGTTATCATCAAGGCAGAGAGGATAGTCGGGAAAGAGATTACGATTATGGTCGGCACAGTTACGATTCTGATTATGAACGTAGCAGTAGAAGAGATGGCAGCTGGCGAAGGCGTAATTCACGCGATCGTGAACGCGAAAAAAGAGATTTGAGCTATGAAAGGGATGACAGTCCTTATCGGAGGCATGAGCGTTCTCGGTCACGATCTCATGGTAGGGAAGTAGTAAGGTCACGATCACCTAGAGGTCGAAGCTATAGGGAGGACAGTTATGATGACAATCGGTACGAGAGAAGTGATAGGCGACGGGATCGTGATGATAAACGTCAAAATGATCACTTCTCTGTGGTATGCTTAATATTCTAATGTGTTCCTGTTTTTTCCTTCCCGCAGTTAACTTGCTTTTTCCAAAAGCTGTTTAACATTAATGCTTATGCTCTACAGGTTCCATCAGCCACTGTGGTTGTGAAGGGTCTCTCTCAGAAGACGACAGAGGAAGATCTATATCAGATTCTTGTATGATGTTAATTCCCCGGTTTCAAGTGTATCCTTGTTAATTGGCTTCCTCTATATCCACTGAAAATGCTTTTACAACTTTTAGGCTGAATGGGGACCTCTTCGCCATGTCCGTGTAATCAAAGAACGAAATTCTGGTGTCTCTCGTGGGTTTGCTTTTATAGACTTTCCCACTGTGGTACAGATCCCTTGCAGAGTTCTTGAATTTTAATTTTAATTTTAATTATTTGTATTTTTTTTCGTTTGAAATGCTAAATTTATTGTTTTGACGTAGGGTGCCGCTGAAGAAATGATGGACAAGCTTGGAGAGGAAGGCCTTGTGGTGGATGGGAGAAAGCTTTTCTTTGAATATAGGTAACAGCTCTTGCTTGGTTAGCGTTTTTTTGAAGTAATTGGATGTGCGATTCTCCAAGTTTATCTGAACTTTTTTAGTGGAAAGATCTTTTCGAGAAGTGACATGTAGCCAAAAGATTATTTTTATCCTGAATTTTAAAATATATCCCGGTGAACCAACATGTCTCTTGGTACATGGAAAAAAAGCTTTTTCACTGCTTTTTGTTGTAAAACATCAGGCCATGTTAATTTTGTTTTAGTGTTCTGTTCTGGTAATGGAAGAGTTCAGTGTTCGGTATTTGAATGTCTTTCCTGTGCAGTAGTAAGCCAACAGGGGGAGCAGGTGGGCCTCATGGAATTGAAAATCCATCACGATCAGGTCATGGTAGCCATCGGAGTATGACAATACCTTCAGACTGGATGTGCACTATATGCGGGTGTGTGAATTTTGCACGTCGGACCTCATGCTTTCAGGTATGTTTCATTTTTGTTCTTGAACTGCATGTTATGTTAACTTTACGGGTTTATTCTGTTAAATATGTATAATTTTCTGATCATCCTCTCTAATTGTGTTAGGAGATAGAACAGATTCGTACATTTTTTAGCATTGCAACAGGAGGGACAAATATACTTTGTTATCTGAGATCTTCTTTTACGGTTGGGGTCTTGTGTAATGATGGCTGTCAAATCTTCCTTTTGTGCTGACAAGCTCATAAAACTGATGTGAGATAAGAAGTGGCATAGCAATAAATGAGAAAAGTAGTGTTATTGTCATCAATGCAAATCTAAATATTTCTGGCTAGTATGTGGTTCTGTACATGAACAACTGCAAGGAAAACATGAAGATCTCATTCTTGTTCAACAAAATCAAGAATTTTCATAGATGGAATTTGCATTGTTTCCCTACGTAGAGAAGATTGTATTCCAATTTAACCGAAATCTTGAACATACTTGTTTACTTTGTAGAAGATTGTACTGTGTTACTGGTCCAAAAGTGGGGAATTTCTTGTATACCAGATTCAGTATCATTAGTGTCAGGGATATATTGTATGTTGCTGAAATCTCACTTTGTTTGTCTGTTTTTTTTTTTTTTTGCGTTCAGTGTAATGAAAAGAGAACAGATGATGCTCCCCCAGCTGATATGACATCATCAAATCCCACCCCTCTGGGTAAAAGAGGTGAAGCAGGTTGATATTACTGCTTTTATTTGTTGATAGTTGGAACAATCTTCTAAGCACATGCAATAAAAACAATCTAAACTTATTTGTCTCCAGGCCCGACCCATGTTTTGGTTGTCCGTGGACTGGATGAAAATGCTGATGAGGAAATGCTTCGATACGAATTTGCAAAACATGCTCCCATAAAGGTATACCCTAGGCTACTGTAACTATTGCTGATGCTCCTTCCATGTTGGTATTTGTAATATTTCTTGGTATGTTTTCCTTTTATCTTTCCTGCCTTATCTAAGAATGTGAGAGAAATCTATCCTTGCAGGATCTTCGGCTTGTTAGGGACAAATTTACGCATGTTTCTAGGGGGTTTGCTTTTATACATTTTTATACGGTAAGTTTCACTTGACCTTTTAAGACCAGCGTGGAAGTTATGAGTCGGGATTATGCTATCTCATATTTCACGTTTCTTCTTGTTGCTCCAATTGAGAAAGGTTGTTTTGCATGTTACTAGCTTGTGAACTATCCCGTGATGCTTGTTGTTTAGACTTAAAACCCACAAACACCAAAAAGAATAATAACCTTTTGGGTGTTGTTAGATTCAGGGAAGGTCAGCATATTCAACTGATCAGGGTTTTAAGTGGCAAATTAGGGGTTACAAAATGATCTTTGCTTATTATAACCTGAAGGCTATAATTTAATGACTTTCTTCTGACAATACACACGATGGAGTATGTTTCCATTATTTTCTAACTTTTTTCTTTCCCAATACAAAGATGCTGTAAAGCCGTTTCAAACTGATAAATAGGTTTAAGGCGATTGATCTTGTATTGATACTGTTCTGTGCTTTGATCTGGGAAATTGCATGTTGATTTTTGCTATCTGAATGGAGAACCTCTCTCTTCGTGGAAGTCATAGCTTCTATTGGAAATCATAGTTGGTCTTGGTTCGTTTACTTTGATTTCTTGTTCATTGTGTTGTGCAATTCCATTTTTTCCTTGCAGGTTGACGATGCTACCAAGGCCCTTGAAGCAACAAACGGTACTACACTGGAGAAGAATGGACAAATTCTTCGAGTTGCATATGCAAAAAGTATTCTTGGATCAGGGTCGGGGGCTTCTGGAGGTTCTCAGTCAAGCAGTCTTGCGGCTGCTGCCATTGAAGCGGCAACCTTTGCACAACAAGTTAGTTTCCAAATCATTTTTTCTTAGGTTCTGTTTCGTTGGCTTTTTACTAGGTTTTTTGGGGATTAAACGTTAATAAATATCCCATCTCAACATATCTTTTTACATTTCCAATAAAAAAAAAACCAAAAAGCACACTGAAAAATGATCCAAACATACCCTTAGACTATGTGTCTTTTCCGTTTAAACCCTTCTCTTCGATGTGTATCTTGATTGTTTTGCTTTTGACCAACTTTCATGTTGCCCGCATTTTTTTTTATTCATTATGATTATACTCTCAACCTATGAATTTGTAGTTGTGTGAGTTTATTCCTCACCGCAATCTTTATTCGTTAAATAATGGTAGTCGAACTGGGATAGAAAGAAAATGAACCGAGAAAATGTTTGTGTCAATATGGGTTTTGCATGTGGTGCATGTACTTTGAACTTTCAAGATAGTAATTCTTTAATCGTACATGGTTTATTGGATTGATCATGATCTGTGTTATCCGCAGTATGATGCTGTTGGATGGGCCCCAAAGGAGTACAATCCTGACGATAAGCAGGCTTCTAGTGTGCAAGAGCAGGGAGGTGGAGTTGCTGCTCAAAGTGATGCACAAGCTCCCCAATCTGGTTTCGTGTGGGATGAAGCCTCGGGTTACTATTACGATGCTGCTTCGGGTTTCTATTATGATGGGAATACAGGTGCGCCTACCAAATGCATCTACATGCCTTGGTTTGGATGTGACTGACGGTTATACGTTTTTTCTTGTGTCCGCTTTTAATGTCAATGTAACTTGGGATTCAAAGTCATCCACTGTGTTTTCCGTTGACACTTAAACTAGTTCATTGTTCTTAGTTTTTCCACTATTTAACTTAATTCAATTGATGTTTGAATGGTTCAGGTCTATATTATGATGGAAACAGTGGAACTTGGTACTCCTATGATATTCAGACTCAGCAATATGTGCCTTGCACTGAGCAAAATGACAAAAGCTCCGAGAAGCAATCTGCAAATGTGAGAACGAATGATGGTTCGAGTAATAGGAAAGCAGTAATATCTGCCCCTGCCGCCACAATAAGTTCTGAGAAAGCTGCTTCACTACCAGATGCTATTCAGGCTGCTGCAAGTGCTGCAATAGCTGCTGAGAAGAAAGAGAAAGAGAAGGCTAAAGAAATAAGACTTGCTTCCAAAAGCAGTATCCTGGCTAACAAAAAGAAGATGAATAATGTGTTGACAATGTGGAAACAAAGAAGCCATGAAGGTCAAGCACCACGAGTAGCTCTTGATGAAAATTTATCTACTGTGTCCATGGAAGATCGATCCAACACTGGTGGATTATCTATGAGGAATAAATTGAAATTGGAGGCAGCTGTTTCCAGGGACACTATCACAGCAACTTCAGGATTGGCCACGAACTCCACAGTTCAGACAACGGGAGAGTCGGATGATAGGTCATGGCTGGCGAGTAACAACTCTGGTGGAACTCTTAAAGGTGTTATTAGGGGATCAGGCTTGGGTATTATCAAAACAGATACCGTCTCTACAGGATCTTCAATCAGTGATTCTACCAGTTTGCATGCTTCCGTGCCTGGTTCGGCTTCTTCTACATCTGCGTATGTGGATGCTTCTACTGCAACGCCGTTTAGAACTGATGCATCGGCTTTGGGTTCTTACGCTCCTGCTGTGACTACTAGCAGTGGTAGGAGAAGGTTTTCCGAGATGCCACAGCAAGCGTCTATTCCAAATAAGGAGCAACCTCATAGTGTCTACAGGGATCGTGCTGCAGAGCGACGAAACTTATATGGTTCATCGTCGTTTGGGGATGATCTTTCACAGCTTGGGACTGTAGATTCAAGTAAGTTCTTTTACATAAACTTTTTTCCCCTTAAAATAGTTGCTCTGTATAACGTCTACACTAGGATGATTGACTCTGTTGTGACTGGGAAAATTTTGAGTAGTTTAGTCATATTGTTGGCAGTTGTGATTGGAATATTCTGTTCATAGCTTTAGTGCATTTTATGTAGTTCGGGAGGAAAGAAACAAAAAGGGGTCATACTTTCCACTGGTGGACTGCTAATTTAACTTTCTTTTGAAATATATATTGACTTGGGAGAGATCTGTGTTCTTGTTTGCTCTTGGAATCAAAGATCGAGATGCGACATTGAGAAGGGGTTCTTTAGATTCAATGCCCTTTCCTCCAGGCGTCGGGGGTGGACGTGGTGTGGTAGACGCTAGTAGTCAAAGTTATGATGTGATAACTGCTGACAGGGCAATTGATGAGAAAAATGTCGGAAATAGGATGCTTCGGAGCATGGGCTGGAACGAGGGCTCGGTACCATTTCTGACCTTTAACTTGTATATCGTTAAATTTTTAATTGAGCATTTGTCACTCGTCCAATGAAACAGTGATCTTATTATTAAGCATTTACTACCCCTTATTCTTCTTAAGTTCAAACAATGATCTTCTGTCCAATGAATCAAGTCCATGTACCTTCTTCTACATTTGGTCGATTTAGTACCGATCAACACTTTGTTGTGTGGCTTTGCACATGATTGATCAAATGGTTCCATGTGAGCTGGACTATTTCCCAAGTGGACATTGTGGAAAGTTGGCTATATATTGGCTATATTCTTGTGTCTGTAGGATCTGATTTTTGTTGCCAAATGTTTGTGGTTGCTTTGCTTTGATCTGGTGTACAGGGACTTGGTAAGGATGGGAGTGGTATAGTGGAACCTGTTCTAGCGCAATCTATGGATGGTAGAAGTGGCCTAGGAAGTCAACCAAAGAAGGTGGATCCAACCCTTGAGGTGCAGGCCGGAGACAGCTACAAAACACTAATTCAGAAGAAGGCAATTGCGAGGTTTCGGGAGATGTCATAGCCGTGATAGTATCAAGAGGAGTCTTGCGGACCGACTGTACCGTCTCAATTTAGGTGTGAATTTTTTTGGTACATTGTAGATCACATAAAAAAGTATGTACTTACTATATTAACTTTTGGTTTGATGCTTGATCCATCTCTTTTTACTGTGGTTTCTTTATTTCTTAATTTATTTGTCTTTGTTTTTTAAAAAAAGAACACTTATATGCTTGGTTCAAACTTGTAAGAACTGAACAAGTCGAAGGCCAACCATTTCAAGGTTATGTTTCTAATATCATTTGACCGGTGGAGTAAAGTACATATGGCTTTTCTTGTCGAAGTCTATTGTACTTCATTTTCCTTATCTTACAAGACTACTTTTGGGTCACGCGATCAACTATTTTGCCACTTCCATTTTCCATCGTGTTACTGAATGCAGAGACTGACAGCATAGTGTTTTTAACTGAGAAATTACTAGCTTAATAATGATGAAGTTGATTGAAAGAAGATAACCTCAATGACTGGGAAAATTGGGAGGCTTTTAACTTAAAACTATATACTAATGGAATACACTATAATGATCAAAGTTATTCTTGCCGTTTCTTTTGTACTTGAAGTCTAAGCGGGAGTTAAGGTGGTACTTCCATCTCGAGTGTTAAATATGTTTGACTTAAGCAATAAGGTTTAGTCCGATGACACTTTGTGATTTCCAGCAACATTTTGGTTTACTAGGTCTGCCTTATCAGATGGGGATGTCCACATTTTTTATGGCAATTAGTTATTTGATTAATCACTTGCGTGGGAGATGAAGGATGCATGATTGTCCCCCTAAATAATAATTTGGGCGTATCTTGCATTATTTCACTCTCCTACTTTTGTCATACTCACAATCTCAAGATTCCTATATTATGTAAGGCCGACACACAATTCATCTTTACTATTTCAATTTGTTTATTGGGGGAATGGAATTTTCTAGCTAGGAATGAAGACAAACAAGTTGAAGTTGGTCATACTTACCTACTTTGAAAAAATACAAAAAATTAGGACTAGTTGAGTGAGTTAAACTACTCTTGAAAAACATCACTTTATTGCTGGCCGACCACCAATGCAGCAACAACAACAACAAAAAAAAAAAAAAAAAAGGGAGAAAATCAGTGCTTATAAATAAACTTCTCATTTCACTCACAATTCTCAACAGTTTTCTTGCATCCCAAAAAAGCACAATTTCATAGTTCATTCATTCATAATCAAAAAGGGTTTATGGCAAGGGTCATCGTTCTTGTCATTTTCACCATTTTAGTGGTGGCATTGTTCTCTACTACGGTTCAAGCACAAGATGACGTCACGTGGGCAAAGAGAGTGGACACAGGCAAAGAAGTGGTAACAACGATGGAGTTCTATTTCCACGACACACTCAGCGGAAGAAACCCAAGTGCGCTCAAGATAGCCCAATCTGCCACCACTAATTCTTCTCAGACCGGATTCGGTCTGGTCTTTATGGCGGATGATCCGTTGACTGTTGGACCAGACCCGAACTCAAAGCTCGTCGGCCGGGCTCGGGGAATCTACGGATCGGCTGGTCAGACTGATGTGGAGCTTATCATGGTCATGAGCTACGGGTTTTTAGATGGCATTTACAACGGTAGCTCTTTTAGCCTTCTAAGTGCGAATCAGGCTCTAAACCCGGTTCGTGAAATGGCGATCGTTGGTGGTACCGGTTTGTTTCGGTTGGCTCGTGGTTATGCGATCGCTCAAACCTACTCGATTGATCTAACCACGGGTGATGCCGTTGTCGGTTATAATGTCACAATAGCTACTTATATTTAGGTTCTTTTTTCATATAGTTTTGGAAGATTTTTTTCTGTTGATTATTGATAATTTTGTTTGCGTAATATGAATAATCATAGAACCAATTCCTTTTATCATGCTACAGAGGATATAGAGATGGTATTTCTTAATTTGAATGATATTAATTAAGTATACATTGTTATATACTTCCTAGGAGTATACCCAAATTTGTAAGTGAGGGATTTTACCAACATTTAAGTGAGATTTACTAAGGTGAATTTTATGAAAAAGAAAAATACATTGTTATCTAGAAATATGATTTTGTTTTTTTTATTAGTAATTAGGAGGTAAACACATAAGCCCTCTTGGAAAAAATTATTATTCCCTTAGTCTCGAAATTATTAACCGGTTGAAAATTAGAAAATACATTGTTATATTCAAATTGAAGTTTAAAATTTGATAATCTTATTTGAGAATAAAGTGAATATGACATTTACACATGAATGTAAGGATTACTTTTTATTTTTTATTTTTGGACAAAGTCAATTTCATCAAAGAAACATATGTGATACAAAAGCGAATAAGAGAAACGCGTCGCACAAAACTAGTTAGCATACTAACTAGTGTTTATCAACCTAAATACATCAATTCGGCTATGATGAGTTACCAATCCAAGCTATTTTCCAAACACGACAAACTACTCTAATTTGAAGTGACTCTTTAACATTCAGAGTACATAGCCTACCTCTCACCATATTAATGATACATCGAACTAAATCTTCCGGTAAAGTCTTTTTATCCTCAAACTTACGCCTATTCCTCTCTTGCCACAAAAAATAAATAAAGGGGGCAAATAAAACACGATAAGCTACATTTATAAAGTGTTTACCCCTCCACCTCCTTGATGCCCACATTATACCTTTCTGCCACTTCAACCTCAGGCCATTTGAATTGGACTTCTTGCCGAAGAATGGCTATGCACCTAGTTGAATATGAACAATCAAAAAACAAATGTTGATGCGATTCAATTCCAACATCACAAAGAACACATGTTTGACCTCTACTTTGCAATCATGGTTTATCCATTGTCAAAGTCTTTCCCGAATGGCAAACTAAAGAATAAATTTATTTCTTGGGACCTTTCCTAGACCATGAAGAAGTTGTGTCCATCCCATTTAATTGTTGGGAATTCCGTAGTCCTTGAGTCGCCGACTGTGTAGTAAACACCTCATTAGATGTCAATTTACCCCACGATCCTCTCTAGTCGTATCAATTGGTGGCAATTGCAAAATAATACTTGAATCTCAAGTGACCTACAACTTGGCCAACTCCATCCCTCATCAGATAGCATCTCTTGCAATTTACAATCTTTTGGCTTTTCTAGAACTATAATAGCTCGAGGCAGTACCTCCCCAAGCACACCAAATGGATGCCAAGGATCATGCCATAAGAGAAATTTGTTACTATTACCAACTTTATATTCAAAAAATTGATGTACCGTAACCTCAAAATCTTCCTCCAACTCCAAGAACAAGAAGTAGGGATAGATATACTCCAGAAAGATTGATTTTTAATGCGATTTTTCTTCACGCACTTCACCCATATCGAGCAATCATCTTCAGAAATAACAGACCATATATGTTTCACCGTGAGAGCTTGATTGGTTGCTACCAATGGAGCAATACCCAAACCTCTTGTTCCCCCTTCAAGCAAATAGTCTCCCAATCAACTTTAGCATACCCTGAGCTCCCTGACTCGTTCCACAAAAATTTCCTCATTTTGCTCTCTATATCTCGCAAAATAGACTTTGGTAAAATGAATAGACTAGCCCAATAAATATGAAGAGCTGAGATCACGGACTTTAACAATTGAAGTCTTCCTCCATAAGAAAGTGATTTATTGGTCCAAGAACCTGGGCAGTCCTCCACCTACTTTATCAAAGGACCACAATCAGAGATAGATATTTTAGAAGCGATCAGTAGAACTTCTAAGTATCGCATTGGCAATTTTCCCTTCTAGAATCCGACTACACTCCTCAAAGCCTCCTTGCCATTAACACCTTTGAAGAAATGAAGTTGTTGTTTTTATTTGGATTTGCCTTCAAGCTAGATAGTTCAGAGAAAAGATCAATTCTTCTTTTCAAAATACCAATAGAGTGAACATCTGCACTACAAAATAAAAGCAAATTATCGGCAAAACTAAGCATGAAAGTCTTAGTCTGCTCACGTTTCCAATGATATCGAAAGTTCCTGTCATTTGCGATAAATTTTTTAACCACACCATGGAACACCTCCATCACCAGCACAAACAAATATGGTGATATCGAGTCACCTTGTCGCAAACCCTAGCACCTCAAAAATAACCTTCAGCAACCCCATTCAACACTATCATATGCTTTCAACAAATCAACTTTAAATGTACATCTTGAAGGAAATGACTTACAATAATACCCATGTAATAACTCTTGTGCCAATAAAACATTATCACTGATTTTACGTCCAGGAATAAAAGCTATTTACGAGCTATCCACCAGTTTTTCCAAGACTCCCTTCATGCGATTAGCAATTATTTTTTATATAGCCTTGTAAATGATATTGCAGCATGAAATAGGACAAAAAACACTTACACATTTTGGCATCTCACCTTTAGGAATCAGAGTAATGAGAGTGTTGTTAATCTCTTTCACCAGCTTACCAGTGTGAAAAAAATTCAGAATTGCTTTAGTGACCTCATCTCCTATTACAGGAAAAGCTTTCTTGAAGAAAGAAGCAGTGTATCCATAAGGACTAAGTGCTTGTCATCAGAAAAATGCATGGTCACGGCCTTCACTTCGGTAGGCAAAATCTTTTTTATCATATCATTAGCCTCAACTTACTCCAACTTCTGAGAGATGAATGGGCTAACATCAGACGCTGTGACAATGTTTGACCAAGAACATTTTCCCAAGAGATTAGAATAGAATTCTAATTAATATCTCATCTCTGATCTGCTTTGGTTCAGCTATCTCCTCTCCTCGAGGGTTTTCCAACCTGAATATACGAGTCTTAGCTCTCCGAACAGACATTTTTTTGAAGAAAAAGGAAGTACATTGATCTCCATCTTTCAACCAAGCTAGCTTAGCATGTTGACAAAGGTAAATATGTTGTTGTTCAATTGCTTTGCTGTAGATAATTCTACAAGCCTTCTCCAAATCATGTAGGCATGAGGAATTTGGGAAAAATAATAATAAACTCTGAACATCATCAAAAAATTTTGAAGCCAATTTTACATTGAGCGAAAGATCCCCCTTAATAACAGCATACATCGGCAGTCCATAAATATTATGAGACCACACCTAGGATACTTGCTCAAGAAAATCAACATGAGAAGTCAGAAAATTATCAAATCGGAATATCGTATCTTGGGGGGGCCACTTCATCTCCAAATGAAAGAGTTAGAGGGCTATGATCAGATGTTTTTGGTGGAGCACTAATATATATTGCTGTTGGAAACTTAACAAACCACTCAGGGTTTGCAATAATTCGATCAAGTCGGCGCCAAATGCTTTACACACCCACCCTCTGATTATGCCTATGTATACCATGATCCTTTCAAAGGAAGAGTACTTAGATCAGCTGCAGTGAGACATGCATTTAAAATCTTCCATTGCATCATCCTCCTCCACATTCCCTCACAATATTTCATTAGACTCTAGTACAGCATTGAAGTCTCCCATTAGAGCCCATGCATGGTTCATCTTTGTAAGTCTCTGAAGTCCAATAATTAGGTCCCAAAGTCCTCTTCTCTCAACCACAGTATTAAGGCCATAGACAAATGAGACGAAAATGACATTATTAGACTCTCTATCCAATATAGAACAGTGAACAAGCTGATCCATAACAGTTAAAACAGTAATCCCAACAACTGAATCATCCCATCCAAGCCAAATTCGTTTTCCTGGACCATTTGCATAATCAATGTACCATTTCTATCCAGAATTCAACCGTAGACATATATTACTTGCATCATTAGCAGCTACTCTGGTCTCTAATAGATCAATCATTGGAAACTTGAAAATATTTATATATTCTCGCACTGCTTCTTGGTGATCAATGCGATATAATCCACGAACATTCCACACAGCGATATCATTTAACACAAGAGGACTGGGCTGCATTTGGACCCACAATAGTTACCACTTCACTATCTCCTAAACCATCCAACACAGCAAAAGGATTGGAAGTGTTTACTTCCATTGGTGAATCTGAGTGATGTGCCGTCAGCTGCTCCGTTAGATCGCCACATTCAACCCCTCACCACAGCTTTCTTGAACTGAAGCACCTCTATTGGACCTTGAGGTTCAAGCCTCTCTTCTGTTACAACACATGATTTTCCAAGACCCCTTGAGTTGGAGGAGCTGGTATCACCCCGATTCTGATTGTTCTCCAATTTATCATCGACAACGTTGCAATCAGAGTTACAGCAACGTGAGTCCAATGACTAGTCCCCAATCCCTATAGGAGCTTTATTCTTAGGAAAAAAAATTGCAATTTGCTTCTCAGGACTTTGCACAACTTTTTTCTTCATGGGACAGCTCGTCAGTTTATGCCCAAACACATTACAGCTCACGCATTTATTCGGCTTCCATTCGTATTCAACATGAACCATACAAGTACCCTTGAATTGTTCATCCTCCGATGGTAAGAACATAACAAATTTATCCAAAAACGGAGCAGTGACATCCATAACTACACAAACTCTAGCATATTCCACTCAAGACCCATCTTGTGTAAAAGAATCTAGATATAGAGGTTTTCCCATGGCACTAACAATAACACTCAAACCCTCTGTATTCCAGAATTCCAACGGAACATTTTTGAATTTTACCCAAACTGGCACCTCTTAGTGTACCTTACGCTCTAACGTCATACCTGGTTTCCAGCTTTGCAAGAAAATAGGTTGCTCAAAGAACATCCATGGCCCCCCTCCTCTAATACATTTGAGAGATGTTTTGAGACTTAAATTTAAAGAAAAAGAAACCTGTGGATGAACATAAGACCTCTTTAACACCACTCCACATGGAGAATGCAAATTCTTTAACTTGATGTACAACCGGCTTCTTTCCAATACAGTAACCTACAGCAATATTAGCCCACCGTTTCATTCCCTCCACAGCTGCACTATAAGGAGGTCTCACAAAGGTAGCTCCTTGACGCGTCTCAGGTGGAATATAGCTCAGAAAAGTCCTCAAGATTTCTTTTTAATTATTATCGTGGTCATAATTTTGGGTCGAACCAATAAATACATAATATAGTCATTCTAAATACTATTCAATATAACTGAGTCACCTCGAACCTTATTTACTAGGAATAAAAACTTAGGTTTTATTAATTTTTTTCTAGTTGAGAGTATCTTCAATCCACTTTCTTATTTTTTCTTATACCAAAAATATACACTAGAAAACTTTTCATAAAACAAGAAAAAAAAGCAAGAAATTAAAATAAAGTTTTGATTTGGAATGCACTAATATTTAAACAACGATTTTAATTACCAAAATCATCGAGATAAGCACAATTGACCCCGAATTATGTCCCAAGGAATAATATGCCCTCGGATTTTTTCAGAAGGATAAAAACCCTCCTTTTTACCGCCGCAAACTCAATGTCTATCGTCCAAAGATGTGAAAAGATGACAAAAAACGTGATGGTTCAAACTGACCTTTTCAGCATGGAAAAGAAAAAAGATAAAAATTGAAAAAATTAATTACACTAGTCATATCTTCATGGAGCTCTCACTACCTCTCTCACTATATATAAAACAAGATACACAGATAATTATTTGTCTCACCTTATAATTAGGTTGACATTTTTTTTTTTAGTTCATTTGACGAAGAAACTCAATATTGCAATCTAAGATAGCCTTCAACAAAAAATAAGAGATTTTCGTTGATATAAGAATTGAATCATCATGTGAAGATATTGGAAATGGAAGGGGACAAGAAAATGGTGAACAGATTTAAGAAAAATAGTTTTTAAGGATAATTATTATTTTTTTGATAATTAACATTTTTTATTTATGGTAATTTGTGAGGGGCGTTTTTGGCTTTATACACTTTAATTTGCTTATATCATAGAAATTTTTCACTGAAAATGGTGCAGAAGTGGCATTCTGACTGGGGTTAAAGAGGGATCCTTGTCCTTATAGAAAATATTGAGGGGGTAATTATCATCGGGATATAACTCATACGTCCAATTATCTTTATCTCAAAATCTTCATGTACCGTAAAGTCCGTAATCACCACCTCTAACAACAAATGAAAATCTGTTTAGTCCCAACTTGTTGAATCTACCTTGAGAGAGAGAAAAAAAACCCCTAGTTCACGCTTGCACCGTTATCCATGAATAAATCAGACTTCTCAAATAGATGTCCAAATTAATTTGCTCTTGCGTAAAATATTTAGGGTTAAACGTGATTTCATAGTCAACTTCAAGGATTAGAAATACAATTTCCTCTAAAAATAAAATATCCAAACTCCAAAGATGATTGGATGAAAAAGCACACGTAGGGCAGTGGATTTGAGTTCCATAAGATTGTGGAGCAAAAGTCATACAATAATAATACTACTATGTCCACAAATTTCAAACATTAGTCGGTCCTCCATGACCTTCACATAGTGCATTTTCTGTAACATTATATCATAAATTGATTATATATTGTGTCTGCTCCGCTGTCCTTCTCGATCACGACAGCATCATATTAATTTATTCTTAAGCCCTTTTTCTCCTTATTTTGAATTATTATTCAATATTCCCATTTCCCTCCAGTGAAACTTGCAACCTAAACAAAAGACTACTTCAATGTAAATTTCTTCCTTTTGCCCCAAAAAAAGAAGAAGAAAGAAGTAAAATGTAGTGTTTTTCATTAATATTTTCGCCAACATAATCAAAACGTTTGGGTTTTGTTATGTAGCAAATGGAAGTTATATTCTTTCTAACATTTAAGGAAAATAATTTTACATTTAATTTTTATATTCCACATTTATTATATAATAACAATCTCTTGATGAAAAAATAAATGTAGGAAATACGAATGATCTATAATTTTTTCTGTGCCGTAGGAAAACTTGTGTTTTGAAATGATAAGAGAAAACTCGTTGATTATGATTATGATTAGTTTATTATGACTTGCAGTTCACAGGACTTGTTAGGTGGTAAAATTTTAAAAATTGTTATAATGATTCTAGAGTGTGTTTTTGAGGTAATAATAGAAATAATGTGACAAAATACATTTATTTTGTCCTGTTTTAGTAGTAAAGAAAATTTAACAAGTAATCCTCCTTTTTTTTACCTTTAAAATGGATTGTTCCAACCGCAAACCTTTGTTCTCGTATACCATATTAATTAGTATTTCTCTTCTTTTTTTTTTTTCAAAACACAATCAAAATAAATACTCTCTCCATTTAAAATTAAAGTGTAACTGTCCTTATATTAAAAAATAAAACTATATATTTTAAGAAAAAAAACTGAAAATTATCCTTACCCTACTCCCATTGAAACGAACAAAACGACTTTTGCTGAGATAATTTTTGAGAAAAATTTAATTTGATAACAGAGAATTATATTTATTTTTAGAAGTTTTTCAATTTCTGTTCATATCTTTTCAGGAAGGAGATTGGAGGGAAATAGTATACCCACTATAGATAGATATGATGCTTCTTTTTTTAAGGCTCACAAAATATTCTTTTGGGCAATATATTCGATTTTCTGACATTAAGTCTAAACTAATAACAAAAGACGTGCAACTAACTTTCTTCATTAAATAATGTTGTTTTGTTTGATTCAGGTTTTAACTCTTTTATTAAACTTTCCTTTTATTTATTTATTTCTTTTAAAAGAATAAACATTTAAAAGAAAAAGAAAAAGCATTCCTCAGCATCTGAATAATACTGGGGACAACGGTTACTTTTCATGTTTTCTCTCTCTCTCTCTCTCTCTCTCTCTCTGTGTATGTCGTGCTTTCGCTTTTTCTAAATTCTTTTTTCCATCAGTTTTTGTTTGTTTTCTGCAATCAATCAGCCTTTGGTAAAGCATTACAGCAAATAAAATTCATGTCTAAAAATTTCGGGTGAGAATGACTGCTTTGTTGGGTTCCTTTTCTTGTTTGACTTGAGCAAGGAAAAACAAAAAAAAAAAAACCATGGAAGCAGGAAGCCCCTTCCAAGTTGAGTGAAAAATTAACGCAGTCCAAGTCTGGTACAACAATCCATTTTGGTGGGTTTTAGTCTTTCCTGCCTCATCAGATCTTATCCTGCATTTTTAACAGGTTTGTAAAAAAGAGCCGCATTTTGCCTTCCTCTTATTGTTGTTGTTTTTTGTTTGTGTGTTTCAATTTGGGATTACCTTAATGTGGGTGAGAAGCTGAAATTCGGACTAAAAAGGAACTGCATTTTGTGATAGATCTAAGAGGGGCTCTTTTTATTGGTATGTAAGCTAATTTAATCGGTGTAACCGCTGTTCTGTGTAATGGTAAAGTGAAAGATACGTGCTCGTTCTGTGTTTGGAACTTTATCTTTTTTTTTAGTCTTTGTTTCCGTACCCCTTTTGCGTCTTTGAGGGTTTAATTGAGAGTGATTTGTTGAATATTTGTTTCTTTTAAGGATGCTTTCTGTTTGAATTCTTGTAGTGTGCCTTTCAGCTGTTCAAAGTTTTTGAGCGGTGGAACATTCTTTTTTGATGCTGTGGTTTTCCTGGAATTTAACTGAAAATTGGAATCTGTTTTGAAGTTTTATGATATGATAAATGGTGTAATACTTTGTACAAGATTGATCAATAGCTTAAAAAGAGTTAAAAGGGCATGCTAAAAAGCCCCAATTGAAGAAATGGAGTTCAGCTATATTTCTAATACTTTGTACAAGAAAATTGGAATATATTTTGTTTGTTCCAATTTTGGTCTTTATTTGAATTATTCGAAACTTGGTATTCAGCTATTGATAGAAATGGAGTCATCAACACAGTCGATTGAAGATTCAGTGGAAAAGCCCCCAATTGAAGGGAAACATGAGGAAACATTGTCGGCTCATGATTTATCTGAAAAATCAGAGCTTCTCAAGTCATCTTCTCCAGTGAGTGTTAAGAATACTTTAAAAAGTGCCAAATCGAATGATTCCAAGGACACTGCCAGTACTGTGATAACCAATAGGAAAACAGATATTAAGAGTGGTTCAGTTGCCAATTCAACTAGGATGAGCTCAACTTTGACAAAATCCACCATTAGTAGTGCTTCACGGAGCTCAGGTTCGGTGCCAGTGGTTAGAAGAAACAGCACTGGTGGCTTACCGGGCAAAAAACCAACATCAGTGACAAAACGACCGGATACTGTTGTAGAGTCAGTGGCTGGTACCAAGGGAAGTTCTTCAGGAGATCGTTTAAGGAGGTCCCTCCCAGAGGTTCGGAGCTCATTGCCTTCTCTTGTTACCAGACCCACAAGTAGATCAAGCATTTCTGATGTTAGAAAGTCTGCCCCGATTTCCCCTGTTGCTAGAACTCTGAGAAGCTCCTCATCTTCTGATGTAAGCAAGCCTGATTATTTGAAAAAAACTCCTGTGAGGCCATCTCCTCCTTCTGTTTCATCAACTAAGAGGGTTGCTTCCACGTCAATGGACAGTACTGGCAGCTCTGTGGTTAGAAAGATGGTCGGAAAGGTTTCTTCTCCATCTATTAAGTCACCGTCCGTTTCTAGTGGGTCAAAAGGTGGTTCATTGTCAACATCAATGGACAAGTATTCGAATTTGTCTAGCCGAAGGAAAGCAGGAACTCCTGAAAGTCGAGACTCTCGCCTTATTATGCTTCCTCAAGTAGACAGCAAAGCTGGTGATGATGTGGTAAGTGTTTCAGACCCTTCTTCCCCTACATTATGCATGTTTACAAGTAGATGCTAGATAGTAATTGAATTTATCTGATCATGCAAATTCTAAGTAGAATTGGGTGGCCTGACATGAAAATATTCTCTCCCATGAATATGAATATAAATCTTATGCTGTAAATATATTCTTAGTTGACTTGCTTGCGCTATGGATTATTTCAACCTTGGAGTTCGAAACTTATCAAAATTACCGGGAAAGACTCATTCTCTTTTCCTGGGCGACAATACATTTCTTTTTCCCGGGAATCATACCTTTGAGCTCTAAACACTGTTGGAGCTGTTGGTCGTTTCGTTCCTTTTTTATTAATGAAAGTCTCAGGACTATTACAGGTGTCGTAGTGAGAATTTCTAGTTTAGTAAGAATGATATACCTTGAAAGAATCTGCTTCTTCTCCTTCTTTGTATCTCTTTTATTCACCCCTTTAATTTACACTAGTGACTCCCATGCCACCAGTTGGTGTTTGGAACTCTCTTGGGTATGTTTCAGTTAATGCATTTTTCATATGATGTGCTGAACAAGAATAGCCATTTTCCATGTGCTGAAGTTCTCATTTCAATTAATGGCTTTTATTTATTTTTCCATTTTTTTCCTGATATCATTTCGCCTTTATGGTACTAATTTTAGCATTATTTTTCTGAGGTATCTCATCTGCCACATCGTATTCTCTTGTTAACTATTTTTCTGTTATTATTGTGCTTTCTTAACATTGTTAAAATATTGTGGGTATTATGTGTAAAACTATCTTCTAGTTCTTTTCATCTTTCTTCCCATCTACTCCCCCATGTTCCTTGGTAATTGTATCTCATTCATAATTTTTTTTTTTGTTGTCAAGAGATTGGATCTTAGGGGCCACAGAATTCGTAATCTCAAAAGTAGCGGGTTGAACTTCTCGCCTAATTTGGAGGTATGTTTTCCTTCTTCGATTACTAGTCGCTTCGAAGTGAGTTAACAGTATGTGCTGGAGTAGCTAGCTCTTTTTATATTCTGTAATTAGTGTACCATATTGTTTGCTTACGTGGAGACTATCATGCAGAACTTAACTCCCTTTATATATTCTGGCTCTTTTGTCCTTTTTGTTTGAGATGTTGGGAATATACTAGGTATGTTGGATGTTGCTTACGGTTAGTCTGGTGCTGTTAGAGGTGCATTTAGAAATATTTCGTATTTCACTGATCATGAGATTATTTAGCATCCAGTAATTAAATTACTTTGACACTCAACATATTATGTGAGGCTTTGCCTTTGTGGTAACAACTGTTAGTCTAGGTGTTAGATAATTTTGTATCTGATGGCAGAGAATTTGTAATAGCGCAATGTCAAGAGAACAGCAGTCTGATTTTTATCTGCATGTAAATAACTATATTCTTGGTGAAGCTAATGTTTGATTGATTTTGATGCTATTCTCTGGTGAAAAATCAACCTTCCTTCACGCCAGTTTTACCTTTCTATTCACTAATTCAATCAATTCTCAATTTTGACAGTTTGTATATTTGAGAGACAACCTATTGTCTACTTTGGAAGGCATTGAAATACTGAATCGAGTGAAGGTTTGTAGGATAATTTGCTCCTCATTTTTCTTGTTTATGTTGCCATAAGTTTTTATATTTTGGAATTAAAATATTTTAAATTTATATTATATTACATTTTTTTCTTTCAAAATTATGTTACTTACTTTTGATTCTTCATTGAAATTGTGTTCATGACTGTCTTCCTGTTCCTATACAGGTTCTTGATTTGAGCTTCAATGATTTTAAAGCACATGGTTTCGAACCACTTGAGAATTGCAAAGTTTTGCAGGTACACATTATGCTCAGATGTTTACATTGGCCGTTGAGCTCAAAATGATAGGATCTCTTACCTTTTGCATGTTAGGGCTCTGATATATATACTTTATTCATTGTAGCAACTCTATCTTGCTGGAAACCAGATTACGTCATTAATTAGTCTCCCTGAGCTACCTAACTTGGAGGTGAGGTTTTATCAAGGTTTTATTATCTTGATTAAACACTGTTTATCATTGTTATGCAGTTTCATGATTCCACCTTGATGTTTGTATGATTTCTTATCCTTCATGTCAGTTCCTCTCTGTTGCTCAAAACAAATTAAAATCTCTGGCAATGGCAAGTCAACCTCGACTTCAGGTTTGATATTTTCTTTACAGTTTCGGATTCGTTGGGTTTGGTATTCCATGTCATTTTTTGTTCAATTTGTGCAGGTATTAGCTGCTAGCAAGAACAAGATATCAACTTTAAAGGGGTTCCCATATTTGCCAGCCCTCGAGGTTTGTTTTGCTTCATCTTTGCTTTTTCTTTTTTTTTTTTGGGGGGTTGTTATTTAAATGCCATCTACTACCTGTTTTAAAGCAACTTAGAAATAAAATGAATGCATTTGGTTATCCTTCAGTGGGAGGGGCCTTAAATGAGGCTGTACTGATGATAGATGTGAGGCTGGTCTGTTACACTTATAGAAGTTTGAAAACATATCTTCACCTGCTTTTTGAATGAGGGTTGGAATAAAGTAGTCTAATGATATAAATAATTTTGAATAAGGGGTGCCGTGAAAATACCTTCAAATCTTTGTATTTGAGTGTCCAAATAGCTTCACTGTGTGCATTTCGTCTACTTGTCACAAACTAATGAGAATAAGAAGAGACTTTACAGGGATTTCAAAGCCTCTGTAGTTTCCATCTTTTCCGTCTGCTGACATCTCCAACAAGATGAAACTGCAGTAACTAACGTGACTATTGGTCTTCATATTATGTAGTTTTTTTGTTCCTATATAATTTGGATTGCTTCGAGTGAGGTTTGTTTAGAATTGGTGCACGTGAGCTGCAATAATTAAAAGTTTTAACGATTTAGGATTTAGCCTTTCGATAAATAGGGAAATGAGAAAGATATTACTTAGAATTCAGGCAGGTTCTAGAACCAAAGAACATGATTCATCTATATGTTGTGATCATAAATGTACTGCTCAAATGAGAGGAATCTTGTAAGGAAACCGTAAGATCAGCAGAGAAACGTTAAATTCAATCAAAAGGGGAAAGTATTATATGAGACATGTTTTATTTAGAAGTGTGTAACAATGTGTTCAGACAGAGTATGATGGTAAGACATACCCATACAACTAATTCCAAATAGTTTAATGAAGATTCAATTTTCACTGACCAGTTTGTCAAATGTTCTTTGACATTCTTATGTTAGCTGATATTCATGTGCTTTCCCACATTGACTGTAGCATTTACGGGTGGAAGAGAATCCTATTCTTAAGATGCCTCATCTAGAAGCTGCTTCCATTTTGCTAGTCGGCCCTACTTTGAAAAAGTTCAATGACAGAGGTATACCTTGAACATTGAATTATTCTTGCAGTCCTGATATAGTATCATGGTTTCCAGAGAGATTTAGATTATTTACAGCTGGAAGCTTTTGTAGATCTTACTCGTGCGGAAGTAGTGCTCTCGAAACGGTATCCTGCACATACAGCATTATGCATTCGAGGTGGTTGGGAGTTCTGCCGGCCAGACCAGGCATTTGGTAAGTCTGAAATACATTGAATTTAAATCTTATTTAACTGGTATAAGTGGATTTTAAGTAATTTCCTTTCCGTGGTGGCTAAAATTTTTCTTGACATTCCAGATTCAACATTCAATTTTTTGCTTGAACAGTGGAAAGAACAACTTCCACCAGGTTATCTGTTGAAAGGGGCCTCGGTTGAGCAACCGTTTGAAGAAGATGCATGTTGTTGTAACTTTGATTTTGTCAAAGATGAAATTGAAAGTTGTGATATAGGATTGCTCTTTAAATACCAGTGGTATACTGGAGATAAAACTTGTTCGAACTTCACCCCCATTCCTGGTGCGACTGAAAAGGTACATTTGTGAAGCTCTTTTTCTCTCTCTTTCTCCCTCTTTCCTTTATTCTTCTTTGGTTGACTCACAATGTGCTGTTAGGTTTACTGGCCCAAACGTGTGGATGTCAGTAAGGTACTGAAAGTGGAGTGTACCCCCATCTTAGGTGACACTGAGTATCCTCCTACTTTTGCAATATCTTCCCCTGTTTCTCCAGGTATATCCTTATTCTCATTGGCATTTAGAATTCTTTCTTCATTGCGCAGAAAAAGTAGCAAAAAAGGGAAATAATAATCGCCCCACCAGGAAAACAGCGGTTCTCTGAATTTATCATCTTCGAACTGAATTTATCTTCTTCACACTCGGAACAAATTTCATTAAAATGACGGCTTCTATGCTGACAATTGACAAATATTTAGGTTTGCTAATTACTTTTTAATGCCCGAGTGAGAGTATCAGTGACTATTTGTAAATACATAGCTTCATAATCCCAAGCATAACTAATTAGATTATTTAAACAACATTTTGTCTTCTGAGTTCTGAAATTTTGTTTTGGGAATGAGGTTTCAGGAGCTAAACTGCCAATAAAATCAAACCACTTGAAAAAAACAAAAATAAAAACAAAGACCGGTTATCATAGTTTGCTATCCATAATGTAGTTCATGGAATCATTTTTCCCCCTTTGTGGCCTAGGATAAAACCTACTCCAACTCTTTCCCCTAATCATTGGACAACTTGGCAGAGGTTTTCCACTTAGCTAAAATCATGTGCAATTTGACTGAAGAGCTACTGTGTTAGTCAGTGATTTTCGTTCCTACCCACAAAATATAAATCTGGAAACATATTTTCACTGCCCTGATGTGTTGATGCAGATAAAAGATGAAAATAAGCAATATCATAATCATGATCATATGCATAAATGTTATTGATAGACGTATTGCTTCTTTCTTCTTCATCATCATCAGTCCATCTGAGCAGATTCTTTTTTCCTGTGATCAATTCTTGTTTATCTGAAGAACTATTACGGCCTCCTTCAGTGTTTTTATGGTCACCAAAATATCTGGTTCAAGGTTTGCTTTTGTCAGAGTTGGAACGCAAAGAATTGGCTGAAAATTGAGACTTCTCTAAATTGTGAATATTTAATAATATGAAAACACAAGATAGATCTCAAATTTTCTCCTACAAATTTTTTAAAACCAATTACATTCCTAATATGCTGCTAAACACGAAATAAGGAATACGTTTACTCTTTCTGGTTTGCTCCTGATAGGCTTATCCCATTTCAGGAGCTCTTGCCTTGTTAATTGACCACTTCTGTACAAGTAAAGGGTTTAATAGAGTGAGATTGACTAAAATAAAAGTGGATTTATTAGAAGGCAAATGCTTTTGCATATGGAACTTTATTTTCATTTTTGTATTTACACACCTTTGATTGAGTGATGTGGAAGTAGTCACTTCTGTAGAACTTCACAGTTTAAGAGAATCGTATTGAATACGAAAAAAATGAAATTTCAAATGCAAATGCTTTTGACTAATGGAACTTTAGAACTATTCTCATTTTCGGTAATACATTCTTTTGGTTGAGTTATGCTGAACATGTAATGAGTAATGAAGGAGGATTACTTATAAAAGTTATGAGTTATTTGATCGGTATATTGGGTAAATTAAGGACTCATGTTCACGAAAAAAAAGATGGAACTCTGTAAGACCAGGTTTTTGTTTTTACGCTGCACTCTGTTGTTTGAATCTTCCGTCTTTGTAGTCTATGATAGAGAAAAGTAAATTCAGGGAAAAAATTAAACTCTTATCCCGCCTTAATTTCATGTCTCGAGTATTATGAATGCAGGAATAGGAAATGTGTAAATTGAGTCTTCTGTATCATAGTGCTTTGGTGTGACCATGTCATCTATGATTTTTTCATTGTTTTGCTTTCGCGTTCAGGAACTGGATGTCCAAAAGTTTTAAAGATCAACATACAAGGAGATCTTGTGGAGGGGAACACTGTTAGGGGCCATGCTGAGATTGCTTGGTGTGGTGGAACTCCAGGAAAGGGAGTGTCTAGGTAAGACTTGTTTGCATTCTTGATGCTTTCCTTTGAATGTGGACTTTCTATTGCCACGAGTCTTCTTGACATGCTGACCGAGAGGAATAATCTAACTCATGCTCATATTTTCCAGCTGGTTGAGAAGACATTGGAACAGTAGCCCTGTTGTAATAGCTGGTGCAGAAAGCAATGAATACCGTCTAACCCTTGATGATGTAGACTCTTGCTTGGTTTATATGTTTACACCTGTGACTGAAGAAGGTGTTAAAGGGGAAGCTCAATATGCAATAACGGATCATGTAAAAGCAGGTGAATGAATTAGTTAATCTCCAGATGTAAGAGGGTAGTTATTCTTGATGTGAAAATAAACTTTACCATTTTACTTGTGCTAAATTTTAGCCACCAATTGGTAGATCAAGAACTGCAAACACCCTGTTTGCTTTTTTGGGCACTTGTAGCAATGAGTTTCCTTCTCTTATGAGTGCTGGTGAAAGTCACAATATTTTGGTTTATTTTTATTTATTTCTTATTATTATGATCTTATGGAGTCTGAAATCGATGAAATTTGTATTCTTGTTGTTTATGTTCCTCCTTTCATCTGAAATTGGTTGATTTGAATAGTTAACTTAAAAAAGAAGTGTGAAAGTACTTAATCTGCAGTGTCTCTTCAGGATACAGTTGTTTGGTTTTCTTCATACTTTTACATTTGTCAGTGTCCCTTTTGCAGCTCCTCCATCAGTTAACAATTTGCAAATCATCGGAGAAGTCATGGAAGGAAATACGGTGAGAGGAGTTGGGGAATACTTTGGTGGAAGAGAAGGTCCCAGCAAGTTTGAGTGGTTGCGCGAGGACAAGAATACTGGGTTAGTATATCTTTTTCTTATGCTTAGAGGCTTGCATGATCAATGATTAACGTTTAGTCATTTCAATTAGGGATGTATTAGCTACACCTTTGCTGCTTTGTTTCGTTGAATTTCATGGAACTAAAATATGGGTTTATGCTTAACTAATAAAGTTTTTTGACCTTTTGCGTTCTTTTCACTCTGAGGTTGGCTGGAAATGAAATATTTTTTTTTTCTTGCATTTTGAACTTCATGATTGTCCTGCAGTTTCTTGCTCATTAAGCTTTTGGGTTTAATGCTTTTGCCCACATGCTTATTGTTATGCTTGCTTGAATATAGAAATAAAATTTAAGACTCTTTAATCTTTGAAAATTGTTTACTTATTTAAACCCTGGGCTGGAAATATTCCTTGGTGAGGTGCAAAAGAAATAAAAATTTAAGTTTTCTGTTTGTTCATTGACTATATTGTAAAGGAATTCGTGGAAATTGGACAAAGTAAATGTTTTTTATGCAAACTTGTAGCCGTATGTACCAGTTGGTAGAACTTTTGTTTATTTCAACGAGTTAGCTGATGATGGATGATGTGTGATTTCCACTTATCACTGCCTAGTATGGAATATGGACTATAAAATCTGAATCATATGTTTTGGTTGTTGGAAGCTTATGTTGAACCAGGCCTGCCTGCTTTCAAGATTCTTGCAACAGACTTTATAATAGTTAATGAGACTAACCTCTTTTTATCATATGTTTTTTGTTTTTGTTTTTTTTTTTTTTTGACATTATCATATGTTTTTAGTTAAAATGTTTTCTTTTTGTTTCCTTTAATGTTGCTCCTTTAGTTTGAATTTGACTCTCTAGAGTGACCGCTACTGTATTTACCCTTTTGCTGTAGATAAGATGATAATTGAGATTCTGTTTTTTCCCATTTTACTCATAGGGAGTTTGTATTGGTGTTGACTGGTACAAATGAGTATCCGGTGACAAAAGAAGACATCGGTCGGCGATTAGCATTTGTGTATATTCCAGTAAACTTTGAAGGTAAACTAAATCTGTTCAACTGCTTTGGAATTTTACTTGGTTGTGTTGTAAGAAAGATTGTTTTTCCGCTAGTAGTTCATTCATTTAGTTTTCTGCTGATATTACTTTATTTTACAGGGCATGAAGGAAAATCTATGTCAATGACCTCTGAGATTGTCAAGCAAGGTATCTTTAGAATACATCCCTTTAATTCTTATTGTGTGAGGATGTTGTTTCATGGAAGCTGAAATAAAAATTGATGCTATGTGCTTAACAAAGACGATGTCCACTGGTTGTATTTTTTTGCACAATCAGGATGATTTATTCTTTTATTGTGTTGTTCATCTAGTATCAGTTGTCACTCTTTTTTTTTTCTTTTAAATCACAGCGCCTCCTAAAGTAACCAATGTGAAAATAATTGGTGAGTTAAAGGAAGGAAGTAAGGTTACTGCTAGCGGTATTGTCACTGGAGGAACTGAAGGGTCTAGCAGAGTACAGTGGTTCAAAACAAAATCTGCAGTATTTGAGGGTGAGCAAGCTCTTGAAGCATTAAGTACCTCCAAAATTGCCAAGGTGAAAGGATTTGTTACGGTGGTCTTTTGTTGCTTTATTTTTTCTTTTGAAATGTGTTTTTAATCATTTAGTGTTTCTTGCTTTGTTTAGGCATTTCGGATTCCATTGGGAGCAGTGGGGTATTACATTGTTGCAAAGTTCACTCCTATGACCCCAGATGGTGAAGTGGGTGAACCAGTTTATGCTGTGGCTGATAAGGCAATTGAAAGTGAGTTCTTACAATAGCTGGCTTCCTTGCCTTCATTAATGTGGGTTAAATGGTAGCAGAACTAACAAAAAGATTGAGTATGATATGTTTGCAGCTCTTCCTCCGAGTCTGAATTTCTTGTCTATCACGGGTGAGTATTCTGAAGACAGCTTGTTGACAGCATCATATGGATATGTCGGAGGCCATGAAGGGAAAAGTATCTACAATTGGTATCTTCATGAGGTGCATACATTTTTTCTTGGACGCTCTATGATTTACTACCTCTGTCGTCCACATTGAGTTTTGAAATTTATATTATTTTTAGTACAAATTCAAAACCCAATGTGGACTATTGTTTGGGACAGAGGGAGTACACTTTAGACCACATTAGCCATTTAGCCTTGGAAATAAACCAACGCAACAAAGCAAGGTTGAGTAGCCTCTTTTGAAGGAAAAAATAGATTAAAACTTGTGAAGTGGTTTGAATATGGCCATGCACTATTGTGATGTATAGAAAGTCTGTGCTCTAACAGAATATGGTGGCTGGATATGATCCATGCTGCAAATTGCCAACCCCTCCTGGTTTTGTTCTCCCTGCCCATCGATCCTCTATGTGTCTTGTCTCTCTTTTATCATAGTAGTGGTTGACAGAACTGTTTCTGTAGAGAGTTGAGCAGGAACAGACCTCCAAAAGCATCAAAAGCTTGTCACTCTATTAGATCTAATTTCATAGTGGATTATTGTTTATCGGTTGATGTTTCAATAATTTAATATGACATTTGATGTTATTGTGGAAGATTTACTTTCTTTAGCCACGGGACTCGTACAAATTACAAAGATTCTTGAATTCTAGAGGCTCTATTAAATTGAAATGTTGCAAGGGGAGCTTGTTTTACTATCGAAGTCCAATAACAGAATTTTGAGTGTTGATACAGAGAGCACTGAAAGACCCATTTTTTTCAAAAACATGAAACCGTTTAGGAAAGATACTTGGCTTTGTTAACTTTCATCATCTTGAGCTTTGAAAAACTGTTTGCCCGTTTAAATTAATTTTATATTTTGCCTTTTTTGAGACATTTTGCGAATTGAGATCTCTTTTTCTGCAGGCTGAAAAAGATCTGGGTTCTGTTATTCCTGAGCTCTCTGGTCAATTACAATATCAAATCACAAAAGATGCCATTGGAAAATTCATATCTTTTACTTGCACGCCGGTACGAGATGATGGAATTTTGGGTGAGCCAAGAACTTGTGTTGGCCAGGAACGAGTTCGTCCTGGTAAGTGGGTTTAGTTCTCTAGAGATCTAATATTTGGTCACTGTTCTATCGGTCATCAGTTTTTATTCCTACTCATTATTTTCATTGAAGATTTTTGTAAGAATCAAGTTCCAATATCGGCTTCGTTGGTATGTACTGCAAAAGCATTAACTGCAAATCTCAACTTTAACAATATTAGGATCATGATCACTGCGGTACATTTTAAAGTGAGAGAATTGAGAATAAAGATCTATAGCATAAGAATCATGGTTGATGCTCTCGCAGCAATTAGTTGGCAGAAGTTGTGCGCATCTGGTTGCTTTGTGAAATGAAAATTTCATCAGTATCAGTTACAAAACTTGTCCCTGACGAAAGATTTCGTGTGTAATTAATGAATCTGAACCCGTAATGGAAGTTTACACGAGTTGGTGCCAGAAAAGAAAAGTGCGGGAGTTTTAGAGATGACAAGTCTTACGTGGTGAGAGACTTTGTGCTAATGTTAAACATTGTCTAAGGTCACTTGAGGTGGAATTAAATTGATCGTCTTTTGGCTAAAAGTGTAAAAACCTTGAATATGGGAACTGGGTTGGTTTCATGGACATTAAAATAGTAGATTTGGGTAATCGTTGAACTGTCAAGTCATTTGCTTCTCCTTTTCATAAAATTTATACAGTGATGTTGTGATTCTACACTCTTGTTATGCGCTATCTTCCTATACTCTGAACATTTTGTCACATATATGCTTTTTTTTTTTTAAATTTTCTGGACTTTATGCTGCCAATACATGCCCTTAGCTTTCTAATTCTTAATGCACAGATACTGCTTTTACTTTGACATGTACAAACCGCTAATTGCTAAAATTACCTTCTTTTATTTTTTGGCTAAACGCTAAACATGCTCTTACCAAAGCCTTCAGGGTTTCATGGTTTATTTAAGTCTTCTTGAATTTGTTGTTATCCCCTAGATTGCATATCTGACACATTACTATTATAAATTTGTCAGGAAGTCCAAGATTGCTTTCTCTACAAATACTGGGACGAACTATTGAAGGCACCCTGCTAAATGTTGGGAAAAAGTATTGGGGGGGTGATGAGGGAGATTCTGTTTACCGTTGGATCAGGGTAATGTAGATTGGCATCATTTAGTTCCTACTGCAATGTTTTCTTCATTGTTCTTCATGATTATGTTTACCTCAATGTTTAGTGTTTTGCATTCATCTTTGGGATCATGACGAGGAAAAATGCCTTTGTCTGCTGTGTTAGAAAACCTGGCAAATAAAATATGGTAACTTATATCTACTACACGCGAGGTTTGTAAACCTCCACATTGTCCATTTGAACCTTGTGGTTTGGAAAATCTAGGTGGATATAATATTTTCAATAAAATATGAGTTGTGAAAAGCCTTGGTATATAGTATATATACTATGAGATATTCCAAACTGATAAGAAAGGATATGCAGGCAGATAAGTTACTACTGACCGTTAGATGTTCCAAAAAATCATGAAACCAGCAATGACATGAATCAAATAAGAAAAAAAGTATGGGTAAGAAAAATTGATTCCTGGTGGGAAGTAGAGATACTATCGTGGTGGAGACAGGAGTGAATCTCGTCTTCAATATGTTTCCGTGGTTTATTTACTTTGAAAATAACGACATCTTTTGTCCTTTATATTCATATCTGTTGAGCCAACAACCGATTTCTATCCTAATAATATCCCTTCCGGCCCACTAAGATCAATTCATAATGCAATAAATACCGACTACCATAACTAGGCTGGGTTTACTGTGGGGTTCTTGTCTATGCACCTTTTGCTACAAGCTCCAAGAATTCTTTTGCGGGGTAATTGTTTCTGTGAGTCAGAAAAGGATAAGGCTAAAAGGTGCACGGTGAAAGAAACTGGGCTGTTTTGTTCGTATCAATAGATTTATGTTCACCATTCTTTTTCCTCTGCAGGACTTTTCTTTATTTATGTTTACATTGTGATGAAAAGGCCTGGTGGATTGTATATGACTACAGGGTGGTAGTAATTTGCGATAATTTGATCTCGAGGAAGAACCATTTTTTTTTTTTGGGGGATTGGTTTGCTAATCTAGGATCAGTTATTAGGAGTTAATGGAGGTACTATTTCATTTGGGGTTTATCTTTGAGGTTTTATAAGAAGTTCGTTGAGTGTTTTCTCTCTAATATCGACTTCTAAAAGCTCCGCATGATCAGGAAAGTTACACCAAAATTTTGGATCTTAGCCTAAGGGATTAAATGATCTTCTCTACGGTGTCCTTGATTCTTACTACAAACTCTATCAGATTAGCGATACATATTAATAAACCTATTGATAATCGGTTTACTTTTGATACAGACCAGTTCAGATGGAGTTAGTAATGAAATTATTGATGCCACTACACCATCATACCGGCTATCAGTGGATGATATTGGTTTCTTCATATCAGTTTCATGCGAGCCTGTGCGAAGTGATGGGGCCCGTGGTCCTACAATGCTCTCTGAAAAAGTTGGACCTATTGTTCCAGGTAAGTTTAATAGGTAATTTGCATCAATTGCGGTCAAAATTTAACCTTGTGAATTAGCCTAGTCACCTTCTATGCTGGCAATGAGCTATTTGTGTAATTCCATTTCATTCTTCGATTTGAATGTTTGTTCATCTCTCTCAATCTCCCCTCGTTGTTGGACCTTGAATTTAATAATTTGTATCAATGTTTTTGTTGTAGGTCCACCAACCTGCCTTTCACTTGATTTTCTTGGATCATTAATAGAGGGAGAGCACTTGAGCTACATTGCTTCTTACAGTGGCGGGTGAGAAGTGTTAAATGAAGTCTGGTGTATACTCTATTTCTGTTTCTGACACCCATGTTCATTCTTCAGGAAAAAAGGAAATTGCTCATGTGAGTGGTTTAGAGTGAAAAGTGATGGTATTAGAGAAAAAATAAAATCTGGAGGTATTCTTCCTTCTGTTAACGTAGTTCTATTCTTCCTGCTTTTAAGTTCCAGTTGCTTGACATGAAACCTTGTATTTGGCCAGAGTTTCTAGATTTAACTCTCGATGATGTTGGAGAATGCATAGAGCTTGTATATACCCCCGTTCGGGATGATGGTATTAAAGGAAACCCCACAAGCTTGCTGTCTAGTCCAATTGCCCCTGGTAGGTGTACTTTTACGATATCATTTTCCATTGTCAGTGAACATTAATCCTGCAAATACTTTCTAAATTTTGCTGATGAAAACTTTTCCTATTAGGCTCATAAGCTTTTATTGTACAATATTAGGGATGTAAGTAAATTTACATGAAGCATTTACAGTTAATTAATGTATTATTAATTGATGCTTTTCAATGAATAGTGCTCCAGAACTTCGGATCCCATTGTTGTATCTCACAAAACTTCAAATTTTGTTTGCTTATTTCATCTACACGTTAAACCTGTTTACAATCTGATTTAATGCGTAAGATGCAAATATGTCCGTCCGTCTTAAATGTCCGTCTTAAATTGGTAAAAGATGACCTAAAAATGGATGTCAAATTTGAGAATGAAATTCTATCTGTTAATCATTAACCTTTTAATTCAGATTTCAAGTTGATCTTAGCATGATAAGGGGCAATGAGTTTTAGCAGAAGTACATGTTTTTCTAGGGCTAAAATGCACAGGGCATATTTATAACATGTAAAATGGGTCTGCAATAGTTATGCTGCAGAAAATATCACCTTACTGGAGTTTTATCTTAATAAACGGGAATAATCGAAGTATCCTTAACGAACAAATTAATCAATCTTCTGGATTTAGAATAGAACATTATTTAATTTACTTCAAATCAGAAACTTATGAAATGTTAGAAGTTGTTTGAAGTTAAATGAAACTTTGTGTTTTGCAGAGCATTGCAGACCCCACTTATTTGGAGAATTTATAGATTTTGTTATGCTTTTTCCTTTTCTTGGTTAATTTAGAAACAGTAGATTTTAATACGAAGAAATAATAGATTGATATAATTTTATCAGATGTTTCCATTTACTTTGCTTGCCTAATGATTTTATGTTTGTAAGTATTGAGACCATTAGACATTGTGTTGGTCTTATGGATTGTTTTGGTCAGCTTTCCGTTCTAATTGGATTGTCTATTACTTTTTGAACTTGCTAAAAGGGGAGCCTGTCGGCTTTGACTTGGTAATTCCTGATTGCTGTGAGGGCGAGATGGTAGTGCCACAGAAGAGATACTTTGGAGGTAAAGAAGGTACAGGGCTGTATATCTGGTACAGGACTAAGAAGAAACTTGACATATCTGCTCTGATGAACATATCTGATGGTACTGATGATACTTGTGTATGCTGCAAGACATTGTAAGTAGTTTCCACTCTGTAACGACTACTGCAAGCAGTAAGAATTATGCACTCAAATTCTTACTTTATTGCAGGTCATATATTCCCTCAATTGATGACGTTGGAGCCTATTTGGCCTTCTATTGGCTGCCAACTAGATTAGATGGTAAATCTGGAAAACCATTGGTGACAATTTGCGATTCTCCAGTTTCCCCAGGTAAGCATGTATTTTCTTTGACTGTAACTATCTCACATGCCTAAAACGACAAGGTTGCTGAAATGCTCCTCTCAAGTTGGCATGGGCAAAATGTGTATTGGCACGAGTATTTGATGCATGTTACTTTTTAACAAATAATAGACTGGGTTTTCTTGAAGAAAGTTTTTAATTTTTTGACAGTAGTGGGATGTGCTTGTACTCTGAAGTGTCATAGTTTAATATTTTCAATACAGGAAATCTCAAGTAATCTTTTTCCATTAATATTTTCTCGTAGAAGTTTTGTTGATGTTCAATTTGAATATGTGACAGCTCTCCCTGTAATTTCCAATGTTCGTGTAAAAGAGGTCTCCTCTGGTATTTATCTTGGTGAAGGAGAATATTTTGGTGGATATGAAGGACTGAGTTCATTTAGTTGGTATAGAGAAAAAGATGATGGAACCATTACTCCCATTGATGGAGCAAATGCTAAAACTTACGAAGTCACAGATGACGATTACAATTGCTGCCTGCTTTTTGGGTAAACATTTCTTGCTCATTGCTCGGTTGTAGTACTTATGCTATCTTCTGTTTTCAAATATGCTTCCTGAACCTAATGCACTTTATTGAACCTTTTTATCTGTTATATCTATCAAATGGGTAAATTTATAAAAAAATATTTCATTCAGCATTCTCCGTGAACTAGAAGAGAAAATTAATAAAGAGAGTGTATGGAATTAAGATGACATAATTTAGTTGTCAAAAGATAGTTGGGAAGCTCCAGAAGCTGAAGTAAAATATGAGAAACAAAATGTATGAAACTAAGTAAAGCTGAATTCATGTTTGTAGCAGGATTTTTGGGATTGACTGGCTTTGCGGGATTTGAGCTCTTCCTTAGGTTGCTGAGTCAGTTTCATCTTTGATTTATTTACCTTGCAATAGGAAGAAAAACATCATTTGTAATCCTTACTTAGCAGGCTTTTCATGTCATCTATTGATGTTCTAAAATGCCACATGAACTACACTGGAAATTGGGCTTTGTTTTCTAGTTAAAGTTTAGTTTGTCTTTCTTATAATTGTTTTATAGTTTTTTATTTCCCTGTTTGGGTTACTAGTGTTGACTGAGTGCAGTATTGGTAATTTGGTCTGAAATTAGAAAGAAAAATGCATTTTGGTCTCATTATCATTGCATCTTTCAGGTACACACCGATTCGATCAGATTCTGTTACTGGAGAACTTAGATTGTCCAAGGCAACGAATGTGATTCTCCCTGGTAGTGTATTTTTTCTTCTACCTTGGATTTCTATTTTAGGCCTTCTGCTTAAATGCTGAATTGAGTTACCTTGCTAAATCTGTTTTTATGTACTTCTGATATTCAAACAAAATGTTCTTTATGCCATTTGACGAGATCCATAAAACATACAATTTTATTTTGAATAACTAGGGGTACAAAATGTTCCATAAGCATGTCTCCTGATCAAATTCAATAGATCTTTTTCCTGAATTTAGGTTTCTATTAATAAATAACTTGATGGTCCAGATCACAATTTCTTGGGGGGTTGGTTCTATTTTACCAACCTGATAAACAGTAGCGGACAATTTTCTTTTGTATATTTGGTGAATTCTCTCAGAACAATTTTTGCAATCTGTCGTTAATAAGAGAGCTGCTGACCCAACAGCTGTGTCTGTTACTGCTGAGTGCTGGCTTGTACAAAACAAGTGTATTTTTATAAATACACTTACGTGGCTTATACCTTTTCATGACAAGATTGATTACATCAGCATTGGCGTATACTGTTAATTGAACTAGAATGGCATCGTTCCTTTTCTCCAAATCTTGATTTGATGATACTTGTTTTACCTGGGATCTGCATTTTCCATATTGTTCACTGCCTGAGAAAACTCTAATTGTCCTTTCATCTCATATGTAATTTGATTTTTCCCTGTGCTACTCAATTTCTCTCATATGCAAGTTGATTTTTGGTTACATGAAATTCATGAACTAATACTAAAATATTTAATAAAATCCTTACTCTTCAGAGATTCCTACTATTGAGATGCTCGTCCTGACTGGTAAAGCTGTTGAAGGAGAACTGCTGACAGCTATTGAAGTAATGGCAAAGAGTGAAAGTCAACAGAAGGTGTGGACAAAGTACAAGAAAGATGTGAGATACCAATGGTACTGCTTCCTACCCTGAGCTTCCTTTTCCAATATGCTTGACGAACCTCTAAAATGTTGAAACTGTATCCTGTTACTGTTATTCAATTCTCTCATAGGGGTTTCGAGCAACTAGAACTTGACTTCAAAGTCCTCTATGACATTTTTCCCTGCTATATGCTCTGGGGATGGTCTTGTTTCTCAATACACCTCCTTTAAATTTCGCTGCGTGCAATACTCCAGAAAGGAATAAGGACGTCAGTGATGTTCTGAATATTGATGTGGTTCTTATAATGACTCACCCAACGTGTGTGCATTCCTAATTTTATGCTTAAAAGGATGTACTTTGTGGAGTCCTATAACTTCACATTGGGCATGGTTTCCAGAAATTAATATATACTCTAGGGTACTATGGTTTCTTGGAAGGCCGGAAGATGATGGGCATCAGTTCTTTTTAATATCTAGAGTTTTTTTTTTTAATTTTTTTTTAATAACTATGCATTTCCTGTAATTACTATGTTTTGAACAGCTTTCGTAGCTGAAACTGTGCAATTATGTCTTGTCTCTAGTACTGTCTAATTGAGGTTTCTTGCAGGTTTTGTTCATCAGAAATGACAAGTGGTAGGTCCTTTGAACCGCTTCCATCACAGCAATCATGCTCTTATAAAGTGCGATATGAGGACATTGGTCGCTGTCTGAGGTGCGAATGCATTGTGTCTGATGTGTTTGGAAGATCAAGTGAACCAGCATACGCAGAAACAGATTATGTTGTGCCTGGTATTAAATCTATATCTAGTGTTTTTATTGTGTTTTACAAAACCATTGCTTTGGGTAATGAAATGTTAAAATTCAGGCCATCTGATAGTGACTTCGAATGAACCCTGTCCAATACTTTGTCCTACCAATTACTTTTTAAATAGTCACACAATAAACAGTCCCTCAACGCTTGCTCGAGTAATAAATGTTGGTTTAATTTCGATGGTACCAATAATTGCAAAGTTTGAAAGATTATGTTTCCTCAAAATCTTAAATGGGTGTCTGATATTTTTATGAACTGTTGTTGATTGCCAGCCTGCAGAGAACAATTTTTATGAACTGTTGTTGATTGTTAGCCTGCAGAGAACAATTTTTCAGGATTACAAGACATATAATGCTTTTGTTTGTCCTGCATAGTTTTGCGTATTTCTTGGTTGCGGTTAGAGCTGGTAGTGTATAGTGATGCAGCAATAAAATATGCTTTGCTTTCTATTAAACATGACATGGCTAAAGCATATTACCAGCAATGTTAATTTCTTTAGAATAGTTGTTTGAAAAATAAAGTAATAGAGCATCTTCTGCAGATTCCATGAGGTTTAATTAGCGATTTAGAATAGTTGTTTGAAAAATGAAGTAATAGAACATCTTCTGCAGATTCCATGAGGTTCAATTAGCGATTTAGAGACTCTTGACAATGTTAGCCATGTATTCCCTTCTTTGTTCCTTAAAGGTTTGCACTTCCATTCCTGAATAACGGACATGTGAAATAAAGCATACAGATGGGAGAAACCTTTACAGAACTTTGTCTTGCATTTTAAATAGAAAATTATTGTTCCAATCGTAAATAACAGTAGTCACCTCAATTTGCGATGGCTGGTTTGTTTGCAACACTTCTATGCTTTTTAAGGGTTTCCTCTTCCACTCCTGAATACTAGACTTGTGAAGTGAAAGCGTGTAGATGGGAGTATGCGTTTACTGAACTTTGTCTTGCTTTTCAATAGAGAATTATTATTTGTAATTATTGAGGAGGTATACTTACCTTTCTTTACTAATAGGAAAGGGTTGGGACAGATCCAAATTTATTTTCTGTTATTTTTTCACAGTGGTACGGCTGCTTTTCATTTGACTGTGTCCATCATCGAGTTGTAATTTAATTGTTCAAACCCTTTCAGGCAATCCTAGAATGGATAAGCTGGAGATTGAAGGTAGAGGTTATCATACTAATTTGTATGCTGTACGTGGCATTTATAGTGGAGGAAAAGAAGGAAAAAGTAAAATCCAGTGGCTTAGGTCGATGGTTGGAAGTCCTGATCTCATCACTATTAATGGTAACAATATGTTCACTGATTTCTTTTATTCTTAGTTTTTCCTTCTTTTATATTGTATTCTGTATATGTATCTACGTAGTTATCCACATATATTTTAATGTATATGTAATACGTGTGTGTGTGTGTGTGTGTGTGTGTGTGTGTATGTGTTTGTGCAATGTCTATTGTATATGATAAATCTCTGCTGTATATGTGAATTGTAAAGAGTTTAGTATACGAGCGTATATGCATACATCTTTTTCTCTTTAGCCCTTGGAGATAAAGTCGTAAGAATATACGTGTGTATATGCCTATAGTTTTTTCATTGAAGTTCTTAGTGTAAGGTTGATAGACATATTTTTGGTTAGTTAAAATGTAAGAGATCAATTGGTAGTCCAGCGAAAGTCTGTGTAGGTAGATATTTTAATAAGATGCAGGCTACCTGCTGAGTTTTATCCACTGAGTTTTAACTAGTGGAGTTCTACCACTAATGACTTTGCCGAGTGCAAAAGTTACTGTTCAACTTGCAGTAAGTTGCCTTACAGTGGAAGAAGTTTTAAGATTAGAGCCAACTATTTTTGTCATCTGTAACAAAATAGTTTACTTTTAATTCAAACTAAAATGTGAGAACTAATCTAGCCTATTCTTTACCTTTTCTAATGTATCAATCTTTGAAAATTGATATGTGAGAACTAATCTAGCCTATTCTTTACCTTTTCTAATGTATCAATCTTTGAATTGATGTTTATTCATAAATATTCAGAAGTAAAACCACTATTGATCCCTTACCAAAAAAAAAAAAAAAAAGAACAAAATACTTATGATTTTCTTGAAGAATTTACTTGCGTAGCAAAGGAAGTTTTGCTGCTATTTTCAAGACTTGGAAAGAAACTATAACAAAATGACTTGAAATATTTGAATGAAGATAATGTGTGTTGATCAAGCACAATGGCAATGTGTCCATATAGCTGACCCAGGATAAAGGCTTGTTCTAGTTTTTGTTTGGTGGTCCTCTCTTTTATCTCTCAAAGAATGAGTTTATTGCATATTTTTCAAGATAATGAGCAAAATGTTTTATTGTTATCCTGCGTGTTCTTGTGCTTAGTTCATTAAGGCCACTATATGTATGTTATATTGCATCCTGTGCTTGATCAAATGTAAAACACCTGGGGAGGTGCCTCTATACGAACAACAGTTTACTAGAAAAGAAGATTGACAACAATAAATTTACAACATTTTATGCATTTAGATGGAGTGCAGAAATTTGAATGCTATTCTTTAGCACCAGGTGGCTAATTGATTGATCCTAAAAAACCTAATTTTGCAGGGGAAACGGGAAGGATGTATGAAGCTAATGTTGATGATGTGGGGTACAGGCTAGTGGCAATCTATACTCCAGTGAGAGAAGATGGAGTAGAGGGTCCTCCATTCTCGGTATCGACAGATCCAATTGCCGTTGGTAAGTTTCAATACCAATTTATTTTTCTTGCTTTTCATTGAAAGATAGTCAGAGTGCCTGAGCTTTTTAGTTTCTTTAACCAGAGAATAGTCATTTCCTTGATATATTTACTAAAAGCAGTCAGAATTCAGTTATTCTTCCATTATCCATGTTTACAACATTAGAATTTGCGGTATCTTCTATTCTTGTTTTGATTTTTTTCCTTTTGAACTCCTGATTTCACCCTTGGTGATTCATGTAATTTTAGGTTCTTCAGTTTCATGTTTCTCGTTTTGTACGATTTTTCCCCCCTCCTGTGAGTTACAGTAGTGAGGCTAAGCAGTTGAACTTTTTGACATATTTTGATTGACTGGCATGATCCTGTGCTTCTAATGCTCATATTCATTGCAGAACCTGACGTTCTCAAAGAAGTGAAGCTGAATCTTGATCTAGGATCAGTGAAGTTTGAGGTATTACATATGCTTTTTTAAACTATCTTAATATGTGATATTCTGTTCGTCACGTTATTTCAATGCATAAACTTGATAATTGAGTCCACTTCTTGTTATCTTCTTGAATAATTTGAAGGATACTGTTCATATATGTTGGAAAACTTTTGTTACTATGTGCTCGCTAAATCTGAATGTGTAATGTAGGAAACCCTGTTTGTCAGGCTTCACTTCGTTTTGTTGATTTACACTTTGAGCCATCTTTTCTCTTGTATTGATGTAAATCTCACTTCATTCTCTTCGGCCATTCTTAATTATAATTTGCAGACTTGACTAGAGCACTAAACGTTTGGCATAGAGAAATTAAAAAATATTTACTTCCTGACATCTGGTGTTAGTTATTAGATTTTGATGGCTTTTAGATACTTTTTAGATGTAAACATCTCATTTAGTTCGTCAGGTGCTCAATGCATATGCTAGTGACATTATTATTCCTCGCTACCATCTAGATGAACTTTAATTGTATATAATCTAGCAGCAGCAAACTACAGTCTTACTAGGATGAGGAAGAACCAATTTCCACTGTACTATTGGACTTGCAAACAGCATTTGGGATTCTAATATTATAAGAAGAGAAGAAAATAAAAGAGAACTACGTAGGTGATAAATGTGAATAAGTGACGATACGACTAATAGAAGAAGACAAAGTAAATATAAGACAACAGGAACGGCTGGATGAGCCGTACCAGAGGTAGGGAGGTATGGATTGAAATGCTTAAGATGTTTGGAAGTATCTTCTGGTGAAAGGCTGAACGAAAAAGGTTGATACTGCAAAATTGTCTGGCTAAATGAAATAAGACAGTGATGTTAAACTGTGTCCTGGAGAAAGGCCATATATGGAAAAGTGTACTAGTCCTATACCAGCAGATATTTGTTTCTATTTAATTTTGTGAGACACTTACTCTGCACTACGATCAATAAAAAAAGTTCCGCACTATCCTGGCGACGTAGTTGTGTAAACACACCACCACATAACATCGCCTTGTCTAAATTTAGTCCAATCTATTATTCGTCAAGAAGCTTAAATGAAATTGCGACGTAAGTAATGTGCTATACATGGTCTTATTTGCACCCTATAAATTTCTCTTTTTTTGTTTTTGCGCATGTTGTTTTTAAGTTAGATTTTTGTAACCATATGATTGTAACAAGTTGACAGCTTTTTTATTTACCTATAATAACATCATGAGTTCCCTGTTTGACGCTATTGGTACCAGGTGTTGTTCAACAAGGATCGATCATCTAAAAAGGTGGATATCTTCTTTTCCTCTATCTTTTCATCTATCTCTATTGTCATCTTTCACAGTCGTGGAAAAAGCGTAATTATTATCATAACGTGTAGAATTTACAGGTTGCTGGACTTGGAAATTTAGAGAGACGAATTTTGGAGGTGAACAGGAAAAGGGTTAAGGTTGTAAAGCCAGGTTCCAAAACTTCATTTCCAACCACTGAAATTCGGGGAACTTATGCCCCACCTTTCCATGTAAGTTCTAGTCAATTAAAATTTCTGCAGTTAAACTATCTGATGGATATGTTAATAATCTGCTTTTATGTTAACAGATTTTTATGTGCAATACCTCTGTATTTCTTCATTAACTTAAGTTGAAAATTGGTTTTATGTTTTCCTTGAAGCTCTCACTCTGAAATGTGTAGTACTGAATCTTAAAAAGTCTGATTGGACTGCACATTCCTATTTTCTTCCCATTTATCCCTGGTGTTGCGAAGAAGAAATAGCATCTTTGCATATGGCTGCAATTGTCCATTATTTTTATGATGCAGTTGTTAAAATATATGACCAAGTGTCCACTAACTTGTTCTAAAAGGGTGAAGTAACGTTCGTTGTTCCAAACAAATGATAATTTTTTACAAAGGCCATTATAAGCCGCCAGAAATACAGATTTTGGTTGGATTTTGCAATGAATCATTATTCGTACTTTCAATTATAATTCACTCTCCCTCGTAGCTGTTGATGTTTGGATAACATCGTTGAAACTGTTCTCTGGTGCAATATTTATTTTTCTAGAGTTGCTTCTGGGCTTTACTTTTGCCATAAACTGTAGTGGTTGTAGTCCAAGAGAGATCATCCCATTTCTTGTGTATTTATGCGTCCTAGTATAATAACATTGTCTCACTTAAATTATGAAGTGCTACTGTTTCACGTCTGTGACATTATTAATACATCTGATCTTTGGAGTCGTCTGCGACAAACAAACTGGCCTAAGTTAACATCTCCATATCTCTCTCATTATGCAGGTGGAGCTTTTTCGAAATGATCAGCATAGGCTTAGAATTGTTGTGGACAGTGAGAATGAAATAGATTTGATGGTACAGACTCGACACTTGCGAGATGTTATCGTTCTTGTCATCCGAGGCCTCGCCCAACGGTTCAACAGCACATCTCTGAACTCTCTGCTAAAACTAGAGGCATAAAGTCTGCTGCCAGAAAGATGTAAATCCCCTATAGGCATAGTCCATAGTAATGTCCATTTTATACATCTTTTGTGTACTCGAATCTCGGAGTGCTCAGATTTGCAGCACCGGGTTTCTACCGCATAAGTTTGTTTTGTACATTGCCATTTATGATAGTTTGATGCAATTATTTACAGAGTTCGTTATGACTTTCAAATCATTTTCCTATCTACTCGCCTCTTTCTACACTCATGTGCATTTCTACAATCATTGTTCATCAATCACTAGGTATGTGGTTCATCTTTTGATCATATAGCATTCAACTTGATCTTGAAACTTTCGAAGAATTAGATAGAAACCCAATTGATCTGATCCCTCTTGGATTGCCAACTGATTTTCGCAGTCAAATTCAACATCAGAAAATTATATTACAAGAAAACATTTTCCAAGTATTACAATGTGATGAAGAACCAATCTAGAGAGCACCAATGTTTTTCAGGCCTAGAACAACACCAACACCAATAATGTGCCCTACAACCCCGCAGGCCAAGGTATCAGCAAGGGTGAAACCAGCGGGATCCCCTGTTTGTAAGCCGGAATCTCTCACTTCCAGCTTTAGCCCGGCGGTGGCTTTCCGGTTAGCTGAAGGAGCCAATCCAAACCTTCCGGCAAAGAGCATCAGACTTGTTGAAGTAATCATTATCTGTTAAAACATCACAGATAAATACTTACATAAATCAAACTGAAAATGATCAAAAACTGAGCACATGAAATTCTCAGGCCAAAAAAATTTTTTTTTAAAAAAAATGCTAACCAAATTGGTAGGGGAGCCAATGAAGTCACAGCGTGCACCTAAAGCTCCCTGTCCCCTGCTTTTCATGGGCTTTACAGACACCTGCATTTCATGCAGTTATCAAATGTCTTAAACTGGATAATCATTTTGGGACGGAAAAAAAAAAAATAGTCGTAACTAACCAAGCTTTGAAGAGGTGAAGCAGCAGAAATGCTACTTCTGGGCTTGAGGCCATTGAATTGTGGAAGAGATGTCATCATCACAGCAGATGCCATTTTCTGCAGAAATCTGAGAAAAAGAATGGAAAAAGAGTTGGTGATTATCAAATTTGTTTGCCTTAGGAATAATGGGCAGAAGAAAAGCAAGTGTTGGAAGTTTTGGTTTGCTGGCTTAAGGAAGAGAAGTTTTTTATGAGCCACATGAATCTTTTTGTGGCTTTGAGAAAGCAGTTTTGGATACAGAATTGATGTTCATTGCTTATTTGGCGCTTTTGTATTGGTTTGTCTTCAAAATGGATAAGGGTTTGATATATGCAAATTCATTATATATGCCAATGAAATTCATGAATGCTAGTGGTGCTGATATTGTATGAAATCTATACGTAACAGTATTTTTTTTTTGGCGGATTCGAGCCATTATTTCTGCCGAAAATTTTTGTGTACTATCAAGTATAAACTGATACACTTATTCAAAAATTGGCACGTAAGGTGCTTATGTTAAATTATGAAGGCATGAACGATTTAACCAGTACCAATTTATAGTATTATACTAAGAAAGAAACCAGAGAGAGAAAATAAAAAAGATTCTAAAGGTGTCACATAAGATAAAATCCTATGTGTCATTTTTCTAATGGTTGAGTCAAAAAATATTTACAACAATTATAGTAATAGTCCTTCAAATTTTATGTAAATAAAGTTTTATCAGATGGCATTTAAAATTATAGTTTAAAATAAAAAAAATAAAAATTAATTAAATTTAATGGACGGGATTAATGAACATTAATGCATCAGAATTATTCCCTCCTTAAAAGAATCCCCAAAGTTACTACTGGACTCATTTAATTAATCTCTCTAAAAAAAAAATCTCCCTCCCAATCATGTAAATCAATAGACTACAATTAAAAAAAAAAAATACCAATCATTCAACATTAATGTTATCTATAAATTCTTCTCCCAAAAACATGACTTTGTATTTTTCGCAAATAAAAAAGAAAAAAATAGTACAAAATTTGCCTTCAATTATTACTAAAAGGATGTGATTTAACTATAATTAAATGTTATCTTTTGAATTTCAAACCAATGCATTTATTTGTGTAATATCATATCTACCCAAATAAATATAATCTTTCCTTGATAATATCTCAAAAGTTGTTATAAACTTTATTTTTATCACTGAAATTTTGGATAATAAATTATCATCAATCCCAATTTATCTCTATTTATACATGCCACACAAACCATGAGTATGTTCCAGTGCTGCAAAAATTTCTCCCTCCCAAAACAACCCGAAATCCAAAGATGAAAGGGCAAAAACTTTAGCCCTACAGTTGGTTTGTTGTTCTGAAAGTGATGAACTAATAGTGGGTCGATCGTGTGGCATGGGAGATAATGGTTAATTAAAGTTATATATGATTTTTTTTTCTGTATATTCTTCTGCAAAATGATGTTTTACAGTTTTTTTTTTAGACGTTACTAAATTTATGTTTTTTTAACCCATAATTTCATTATTTCATTAATTATTATTTTCTATTGTTATAGCAAAAAGGGATTAAATGGCAAAAATTTTAAATCTACAGTTGGTTTGTTGCTCTACAATATTAAGTATTGGGTCAAATAGTATCATAGAATCTTTAATTACAATAAAATAACCCTAACAATTTTAAACTTCACACTTCAATCACATATAATCTACCATCTACTATTGATAATTACTTCATTATGTATTTTACGCGTACAATCATTTTATCTTTTCATTCAATATGTAACATTAATACAATCTTAGTTATTTTACTCTGCTTATGAGTGTTATTGTCCAGTTCTTCTCCTTCAATAAAAACCAAGTGAACACTTGCATTTCCAATGATATGCATTATTTTATCTTTACAATTATGCCTTTATTTAATTTTAGTTGTGTAATGTATCTTAATATGGACTCCAAATACATTTTACACTTTTTTATATTTTTTTTGTTGATTTTTAATAATGTATATAAATAAACCCCGCGCATCGCGCGGGTTTAACATCTAGTACGTAAAATATATTAAATGAGAGTTTTCAATCGGACACATGGCGTATAATTACATACATAGGTTAATTCACATGATGTAAAATTAAATAACTAAGTCCACATGTCGCAACTACATCACTTCATCATTTAATGGTAATTTTTTAATATAAAATTGTATATGTGTAGTTAAAACTATATTAACTAAAAGATACAAAAAGGAAAAAAAAGAGTAGAATTAACAAAATTGTAATCCATCTTTGATTGCCATAACCAAAAAAAAAACCCCATCACCCTTATAATATTCCCCCCTAATCACACGTAAAAAAAACTACCTAATCAATCTACCGTGATAAAATTCACCCTATCACACTTTAAAAATTATCCTAATAAAAAATTTAGCATAATTCCGCTTCCTCTAATTCTATAACAATTGTGATTATAATAAAATTAAAAATACTTCTTCTTCACTTGATCGTTTAATGGTAATTTTTTAATATAAAATTATAAATTTAAATTTTAAACTAAATTAACTAAAAACTGAAAAAGAAGAAGAAGTAAAATTTACGAAATCATACTCCTCTTTTATTACGTTAACCAAAAAACCAAATAAAAAAAAAACCATCACCTTGATAAAATAACCCTAATCACATGTTAAAAAATTATCCTAATCATTTTTTGATTAGAAAAATATCACTGCAAATAACGTAACTAACCTCTACTTTTGCAATTCTTGATATCTCATTTAATTACATTTTTCATTTTTTTATATCTCATTTACGAAAAAATCTCGACACCAATAGAATAACTAAAGGGGAACTTTTTTTCCGCAGTAGATAATTGTCCAGACAAGAAGTTGGATGTCAAACAGATGTATTTCGAAATATTTAATTAGAGAGTTCCTTGCAAAATAAACAAAATTCTAGGTATTTTTCCTTTTTTTTATTCAAAAAACTCAGTGTGAAAAATACTCAAATAGTACTTACTTTTTTCTTCCTTCATTTAGATTGTGAATTCTTGCTAAAGTTTTGTCTTTTTGCTCTTGCAGTATTATTTCGAGGAAAAATATAATCAATTTGGGTAAATTTTCCGATATTACATTTTTTTTATTAATGGAAAATTATGGAAAAAAATAATAAATCTTCCAAATGAATCATCTTATCCTTAATTTGCTAGATCATTATAATTTGCCCAACAAATTTTTATTACTAAATATAGTATTTCATTAGATATGTTTCTGAATATTCTCTTGAAAATCGATATAAAGTATTATAGTTATAGCTCAAAATCAAGTGATAATTAAGAAGTAGCACGTGACACTTATTTAATGGTGTGAAATGTTTCATTCATTTTATGGCTACAAAAAAACTTAAATTCATTTTCACTCATTTTAACATACCCTCTCAAGTTGAGCTGCATAACTTTTTTTTGTCCAAACAATTTCACCTAAACCTATTCAGGAGAGTTGAGAGTTATTCGGGTAATTTTAATTATTCGGGTAACAATTTCATTGCAAATTATTTACATAATTTTAAAAATTTATTTTTCCCGTATTAAATGTCCGTTGCCGAGCTAGTCAAACTTTCAAAGTCAAACCTAAATTTTCATTTGGTTTTCAAAATTACTATATAAAATCATTCAAGGAAAATTAATTTAAAATCCACACAACGTGTAAGGGCATAATAAGATTAAACTATATTCGTCACTATTTAACAAATTACAACGTAATAACATTGAAGTATTTATTAATGTATCAAGTTTATCGAAAGAAATAATGAGAAAATTTTCAGTTAGAGTGAGAATTTAAAACTATATGACACTGTAGAAATATTCAGAGAGATCATTATGAAAAATTAAGAGAATACTTTTAAAAGATATAAATCCATAAACAATAAAATGAAAAAGATGGACAATAAATTACATTGGATAATTTTGAATATTGAAAATAATTTCAAGTGTACTTAAACTAACAAAACAAATTTATATTAAAATTATACAATTGTAATTTATATCATTAATCTTATCTTGAATAACCTACACAACGTATCGGATAAACACTAGTTATATATTAAAGCAAAGTTCTTAATCGACACGTGTCGTCCATGGAGCAAGTTTAGCAAATTGTGTCACGTCGTCACCAAAATTCGCCTTCATTAAACAGTTAAAAGTTTATTACTAATACGTAAAATTGTTAAATTAAATTAAATAATTAACCAAAAATTAATTTCAGAAAAAAGTAAATATCACGTGTATGATAATTATTGACAAATATAGGGTATAATGAAACATTAATTATCAAATTAATAATTGTATTAAGAATACAGTTTGAAACTAAGTCTGGATACATTAAACGTAAGTTAGTATTATTTTTCATATGATTTTGTTTGATATATTTTCCAAAAATTAAAAGATATTAGTCACCAAAAAAAAATTTGTTACCAATAACTATATTACAAATACAATTCGAAACCAAGTCTGCCTACATTAAACTTATGTTAATATTATTTCTTAGATGATTAGTATATTTTTTATAAATAAAAAGAGACTACTTACCAAAACAAAGAAATTATTTACCAAATAATTAAACGAATACAACTCAGAACTAAGTTTGATTACATCAAAACATAGGTTAATAATAATTTTTTGATCATTTTATTTGATATATTTTCCAAAAATAAAGATATATTAGTTACCAAAAACAAAAAATATATTAGTTATCAAATAATAATACTACGAATACAATTTAAAACTAAGTCTGAATAAATTAAACGTAGGTTCATATTAATTTCAGATTATTCGATTTGATATATTTTTCAAAAATAAAAATAGATTAGTTACTAAATAATTATACTACAAATAAAATTTGTAACCAAGTCTGTATACATGCAACATAGGTTAATATTATTTTACAGATGATTCTATTTAATATATTTTTCAAAAAGACAAAGAGATTAATTTAAAAAATAAAAGGAGATTAGTTACTAAATAATTATATTATGAAACAATTTAACACCAAGTTTGGATACATTAAATGTAGATTAATATAATTTCT